AAGAAACTCTCCTGCTCTTTTCACATATTGGAAGGATTTACAGCCTGATAATCAACCCATTTGACCACATCACAAACATGCCTTCCATGACCATCAAGCCCAGAAGTGAGTCTCAAACATAGAGATTCTGGCCCAAGGCTGGGGATGCTACCATGATACCATCCCTCTGTACTGAGTGCCTACATGCTCAATCATTACCTGTATATACATGCTCATCTTCACTGAGTGCATATATACCAGCCCATACTGTGTATATGCCTGACGTACTGACTGTGCACATGCCCATCCATACTGTGAGCGTGTACGCCCGCTCATTACTGTACACACTTGATTTACTGACTGCTCTCAGCTTGTGTATTTGTTCTTGAAATGTGATAACACTAGAAAGCCTACATTTATTCACCTTCCATGCCTGTTTTTACATTGGGATTCACGTGGTACACTGGTCACTGACCAGTGTTACTCTCAGAATAATCCTTTGCATTCACTAAAGTTTTACAATTAGAGTCATAGCGTAATACAGCATGGAAACAGGCTCTTTGGCCCAAACTGGTCCATACTGGCTCAGCCCACTCAGCTAATTCCAATTGCCCACATTTGGTCCATATTCCTCTAAACCCTTCCCATCTGTGTACCTATCTAAGATAACAAGGTGTAAAGCTGGATGAACACAGCAGGCCAAGCAGCATCAGAGGAGCTGGAGGGTCTGGAGACCTGAATTGTCAGCTTTCCTGCTCCTCTGATGCTGCTTGGCCTGTTGTGTTCATCCAGCTCTACACCTTGTTATCTCAGATTCTCCAGCATCAGCAGTTCCCACTATCTCTGTGTACCTATCTAAATGTTTTTTAAATGTTGCTATTGTCTCTGTCTCAACCACTTTCTCTGGCAGCCCGTTCCATATATGCACACTCTGTGTGAAGAAGTTGCCCTTCAGACCCTTTTTAAATTTTTCCCCTCCCACCTTAAACCTATGCCCTCTAGTTTTCAATTCCACATCCGTGCGAAAAATACTAAATGCCTTCATTCTATCTATGCCCTTCATGATTTTATACACCTCAATAAGATCGCCCCTCATTCTCCTACATTCCAAGGAATAAAGTCCTATCCTGGCCAATCTCTCCCTATAACTCAGGCCTACTAGTCCTGGCAACATCCTCATAAATCTTCTTTGTACACTTTCCAGTTTAACTATGTCTTTCCTATAACAGGGTGACTAAAACTGTACACAATACTCCAAGTGCGGCCTCACCAACAACTTATACAACTGTAACATAACGTCCCAGCCCCTACACTTTATGCCTCAATCAGTGAAGGCCAGTATGGTAAGTGCCTTCTTCACCATCCTGTCTACCTGTGATGCAACCTTCAACAAGCTATGTACTTGTACTTGTACTCCTAGGTCTTTCTGTTCCACAACACTCCCCAGGACCTTACCATTTACTGTATAAGTCCTACCTTGGTTTGACTTTCCATAGTGCAATGCCTCACACTTATTTGTATTGAATTGTATTTGCTAATCCTCAGCCCACTTCCCCATTTGATCAAGATCCCTCTGTGATGTTTGATAACTTTCCTCGCTATCAACAATACCTCCTAATTTTGTGTCATCTGCAAACTTACTAATCATGTCTTGTACATTCATATCCAGATCATTTATGTCAATAAAAAATAACAAAGGTCCCAGCACCGACCCCTGTGGCACACCACTAGTCACAGGCCTTTAGTCTGAGAAACAACCTTCAGCCATCACCCTCTGCTTCCTACCATAAAGCCAGTAGTGAATCCAATCAGCTAGCTCTCCCTGGATCCCATGTGACCTAACCTTCATTACTAGACTGCCATGTGGGACGCTGTCAAAGACCTTACTAAAGTCCATATAGAAAACATCAACTGGCCTATCCTCATTACCTCTTTGAAAAACTTAAAAGATTTGCCAGACATGACCTCCCGTGCACAAATCCATGCTGACTATCCCTTATTAGAACTTGACTATCTAAATGTTGGTTGATCCTGTCTCTCAGTATCCTCTGCCTTGTCCCTCGCCTCGCTGTAGGCAAACCCAACAAGAGTCCTACTCCTGTTTGCTGTCCAGGAAATGCTGCTGGAAGGATGTGGTCATTAAGTGGGGATAGGATCAGTAATGGCTACACTTCCCCAGTCCAATAGCCTTCAGGCCTTGGGGTCTTGTCAATGGATCCGTCGATGAAATATTGAAGGAGCACACCTCTAAGGAACAAAGTCGGCACCTTTAAAGTACCGCAATTAGAGAGAGATGCTGATCAATCACAAAATCTTAAGACACAGCTAAAGGCCCATCAGCTCTCAACTGGCTCTTTGTTAGGGTTGTCTGATTAGTTCCAACCCCTTACTCTTTGTCCATAGTTTTGCAAATATTCCCTTTTCAAGCATTTATCCAATTGCGTTTTGAAAGTTTCTCTTTTCTCTGTTTACACAATCCTTTTAAGCAGGGGATTCCAGATCACAACAACTCACAGTTAAAAAAAAATCTCCTTAATCCCGCTTTGGCTCTTTTCTCATAATCTTAATTGAATGGTGGCACAGGCTCACTTAAATGCACCTCCTGTTCCTACGAGATAATTGCACTGGGAATGAGAGGGGCAGAAGTGGGGGAAGGGAAGTTTAATTTTGTGCTGCAAGGGCTATCTAATTTCAAAGAACATTCAGTGTTTCAGCTTTTCTCTCTCACATTAGCAAAATAAATCAATATCGAGCAAAAGTACTTTGCCTGCAGTTTGAGTTGAACACTCTAAATGCAACTCAGCCAGCAAATGGGCTGAAAAATCCAGCTCTAGTCATATAAGCACAGGTGAATCCACGCAATAACTGATCTTGATTAACAATTTAACTCCTGGTTACAAAGGTCCAAGCAAAATTGAGAATAACTTTGCATTTCTCATGCTGTTTCAAAAGCAAAACTTATCTGACTCACTCATTCTGTCCCAAGAGCCAAGTACCACAACACATAACTCTTTAACTCCTTACAATTATAATGTGCATATAACCTAATAAAAATATATCAAGAAACTTCATAGGAGCGAGTAAGAAACAAAATTGTCCTCTAGGATTGGTGTTGACCCTTCATCTCAGGTTGTCAATGAAAGTGATCTTTCTTTTGGCAAAGGTCTGTTATGCATGCAATTGGCACAAGTCTATTACCAGACCAAAAGTTGGCTCAAAACACAATATAATTTTATGTAAAGAATGCCAGGCAAATTGAGATATCACACTATAGAACTCCATCTCACCGTCCCACTACACCACTCCTACCTTCTGCTATTAAAAACTTGCATCAGGGGCTTAAGCACATTACAGTCTTCAGAACAAACATGGTTTTTCCTTTTCATACCTATCATTTACACCTATTTGCACCTCAATCTCTCCTTAACCAGCTTTTGTCTTTTGCTCTGGCTATCCTCATCATCTGTTCCACTTATTCCTTCTCCCTTTCTGTCAAAAGCATAAATGCCACCATTTTCCAGCCCCCTTCAGTTCTGAAGAAGAATGATATGGATTCCAAACATTAATTCAGTTTCTCTCTCCTCAGATGTGACCAGACCTGCTGAGTTTCTTCAGCAATTTCTGTTTTTGTTTCAGATTCCTCGCATCTGCAGTATTCCACTTTTATTGTCAGCATTTATATTTTTGATCATACCTTTGGATATGCAGGCTGGATGGATTAGCCATGGGAAATGCAGGGTTACAGAGATAGGGTAGGGGGATGAGTCCGTGTGGGAAGCTCTTTGGAGGGACAGTGTGGACTCGATGGGCTGAATAGCCTGCTTCTGCAGTGATTGTATGATTCTACGACAGTCTTAATAATCGCAGGGACCACAGCAGTTTCAAAAGAAAGCCACCAGCATTTACTCAGAGACAACTAGAGGTGGACAATAAATGACAACTTCAAAGTAGTGAGAGAATTTGCTGTTTAGTGTTTGTAGTTGGGACAATGGACATTAGTCAGCATAATGGGAAGGAGCAGAGGTACTTTCTATTCCTCTTCACAGTAGCCTGAGCAGCTGAGAGGGCAGATTAGTCCTTGGTTTTGTTTTATAATGAGAATGGATACAGTTACGAGATACTGATATATGGCATGATGTAGCAGTGACACCAGAGGTCATGTGGAAGAAGTGAAGAAGGAAGGATGGAATAGGTGAGAGATATAAGCAAAATATTACGTACAAACGTACTAAAAAAGAGTTTGCAGAAACTTACCAGAATCAGACAGCAATCACTCACAGGAAAGGGGAAACAATCAAAGTCCAAAATGACCAGAAGAAACAAGGATAGTTATTTCTCCAATGTGCAGAATAGAACCAAACCACAAGCCTTGTGGCAACACAAATTCAGCTTAACGTCCAATCTGAGAGGTGGCATCCATTAGTATAGCAACCCCTCAATACTGCAGTGTCAGTCTGGATAAGAGCTTCAGGTCTTTGATCTAATGTTTAATTGAACTCACAACATTCCAATCCAGAGGTGAAAGCTGACATCAGAATATAGGCATGCGCAAAACATGTATAATATACATCCCCTCCTCTATACATTGTATAAACCAAATGTATATGGGGAACTTGCAAGTCATTCAGAAGAAATCGTCTGTCTTTCTGCTCTCTCCTAACTTTTTGAATTTCTTGTGGTTTACATTGCCAGTCTCCCTCAGTTTTCCTATGAATCTTGCTGCTCTGTGACAAAGGGGAGACTGCATGCCTTAATTGCGCAGGAACTTGCCACAGAAATATATTTTGTTTCTGTCTCAGGGAATGTCGCAGGCTGGTCATTCTCTAGCTTTAGCAAAGGGAAAACAAGAAGTTGAGTCTAACAGTAGCCAGTTTAACTTTCCAGAGTTTGGTTAATTATCTACAAACAGCTCTCAAACTAATTTAGTATTCAGGGCTCCAAATGTCAACAACCTTCTAGTTGCTAAGGGTTCCTAAACTGGCTCCTCCCAGGCATCCTAAACCCTCCCGTGGCCTCAAACACACTTCATTTATGTCCAACTTGATCATAACTACACACAACTTGAACTGCCTGCACTGAGAGAGAAAAGTAAGTATTAATACTGATCTTTATATGAAATGTGTTGATTGAAATGAGGAATTCTGCAGGTTTTTTTTCTTTTTGACATCACATCAATTTCTGAGTGTAAGTTATTGTTGCTAATTATTGTTCCTGATCTTGAGGCATCTATAGGAGCTGAATAGGATTGAGTTTTTTTCTTTTTTTTAAGCTTAGGTCACATAATAAAGAGATTCTCCCTCTCTCTGTCTTCTGGTTTTAATTATTATGCTGGAGTACAGCAGGATTGAGAGAGATCGAAATCCACAATTTAAGGCTATTTCCCTTTTTTCAACTTTGGTGCCTCTCAGCAATCACTGAAAATTGGCAAACCAGTTTTGCAGTGAGGCACTGTAGCTCTAAGCTTGGATTCTGAAGCCTTAACATCTGGATCCCAAGGGCTCTCAAAATAATTGAGATCATCAGCTCTCTTCTGTTTTCAAAGCTGCTAATCACACTTTTATTAACTGCAGCAGCAATCTTCTAATATGATCTGTGTAATTCTGGATGGGCTGGCTGGTTTGTCATACAGACACCAGCACAGCAGGTTCAATTCCCACACTGGCTGAGGTTAACATGAAGGCCCTTCCATCTCAACCTGTCTGAGTTGTGGTGACCCTCAAGTTCAACCACCACCAGTCATCTCTCTCTAATGAGACATCTGGGACTATGATGACTTTATTTACTTTACCACAAGATCATAAGTGGAAATAAATAGTGCTCGATTGCAGCAGGATGGTGTATCCAAAATTGCATGTTGCAAAGTGGAAGTATTTAGTTTCACCTTGCCACTCTTGGGCCCACCCAATGCATTTGGCATCTAACGCTGCTTTAGAGGGAAGGGGTAAAGAGGCAGAGGTTCACTGTGGCTGTCCTAACCTAACTACACAATTAGGTGCCATACTGACTTTGACATCCTGCTCGATTTTAATTTTCATTCCGGGTGGGGGTGTAAAACCCACCCAGTGCCATGAATTTCCCAGCTGGAGGGTCAGGTTAAAATTGGCTCCTATTTGAGCTTAGGATTGGTGATTTCTTCTCAAAAAAAGGGGGATCTGCCCACGATCTGGGATAAGCTCATGTCTGAGGAAGAGAAAGCCACAAATCCACCTAAGTTCCGAAACACCGGATATTGGGAAATAGTGGGACTGAGCTTGCCAACACTTGGTGCAGCAGAAATTGTGCCAAGTGAGCACCATCAATAAGATCAGAAAAGGAAGAACTTGCATTTAAATATCGTCTTCAAGACCTCAGGGCATACCAACACTGTTCACGGCCAATGACGTGCCTTAACTATTGTAATGCAGAGAAATACAGAAACCAAATTATGCATAGCAAGTTTCCACATGGAGAGCTGAAGAGACATTTGTTTATGTACCAATTCACTGCCTGAAAGAGGGAAAGTACAGAGGAGTGGAAGGAATGGGATAGATTAGTCAAAGAGCCAACACATGCTTGACAGGTAGATGGACGGGTCTCTTTCTATGCTGTAAGATTCTATGAACCTTTAGGGTTCAGAGGGATGTGTGCCAAATAGTGGCAAATGGGACTAGGTCAGATTGAGATGTCTGGTCAGCACAGACAAGTTGGACCGAAGGGTCTTTCCACGCTGTATAACTCTATGACTCTATGAATCTATGATCATTTGCTTTAATGATAGTCATCAAAGGATTAATATTTCTAACATACCAGGGAGAACACCCTACTCCCACAGGTTTCCTCTCATAGTCGAAAGACGTGCAGGTGAGGTGGATTGGCCATACTAAATTGCCTTGCAGCGTCCAGGGATGTGCATGCTAGGTGGGTTAGCCATTGTAAACATCAGGCTATGGGGATAGGGTGGGTGTGGGTTTGGCTGGGATGCTCTTCGGGGGGCTGATGCAGACTAAATGGGCTGAATGGCCTCTATCTGCACTGTACATATCCTATGATTCTAGGTAACGACAGCAGGTTTCCTTCCCTAAAGGGTATCGACAAATGAGGACAGAGCTTTCCTGATCTAGTGATGCAACAACTCCACCATTATATCCTAGTCCCTGCTGTTCTTCTGGCAGTGAATCTTTATCAAGCAACTCAACCCAGAACAACCTATGTCATTTTCAGAAGTGACTTTCCCAGGTGATATGATTGTAGAGCCTGAACTGTCCAAACACTTACAAATCAAACCCTGTCTTACTGTTTTGGGTTTCAAATCCTCCTCTGTTATTTGGGAATGAATTGGATGCTTTGGAAGATGACGATTGGCAGTAGGTATAGTATTTGTCAGGCTTACACCAATTCTTCATGTCAATCTGAAAGTAAACAGGAGGGACTTTTCATCTAATGCAGAGTTGCTTGCTGTGCTCTCTTGGATCAGTGCATCTTTTCCTGTTGCATTTATCTCATTCCAGCTTGATCACAATGAAGAACAATGTGAAGTTATTGCTGTCTGTGACAGTGCTGCTCTCCTTAGCCACCACACAAACAGGTATGAATGTGAAATCTTGTATTGAATTCAAAATCGTTAAACTAGCTGAATTCATAAAGGGGCAGTACGGTGGATCAGTGGTTAGTGCTGTTGCCTCACAGCACCAGGGACCCAGGTTCAACTCCACCTTCAGGCAACTGCCTGTGTGGAACTTGCATATTCTCCCCATGTCTGCATGGGTTTCTTCCACTGTCCAAAGATGCACAAGTTAGGTGGATTGGTCATGAGATGTATATGGGAATGGGGGACAGGTCTGGGTGGGATGCTCTTCAGAGGGTCAGTGTGGACTTGAAGGGCCAAATGGCCTGCTCCCACACTGTAGGGATTCTGTGATAATGTGTTAAATTCTTTGAAATAGAAGCACTTGCATTTTTACAATGCCTTTCAAAATCTCAGAATGCCCTGAACGAAATACTTCTGAAGTGCATGCACTGTTGAAATATTGAAAATGCAACAGCCTACTGCTTACAGCAAATTCACAGAAAACAATTAGGTTATGACCAGTTATTCCATGTTTGGTCAGAACAGCATGGAGAAGTTCACAACACTTCAAACAAAATAATGCTGTTAGATCTTTAAATATCTACTTAAGCATGCAGACAGGATCTCAGTTTAACTTCTCAGCTGAAAGACAGTATTTCTGACAGTGCAACACTTCATCAGCATTAGACTGTAAGTGCCAGCCTGGAATTTGTGCTCAAGGTCTTTGGTGTAGGACACAAAAAAATTCAGCTTTTTGACTCAGAGATGGCCTAACCAACTGCTATCCTCCAACCAAAATTACTGAAAACAGAATATCTGGTCATTATCACTTTCCTATCAGGGACCCTGCTGTGTTCAACTTGACTACCAGATTTCTCATGATTCAAAAGTGGCCACTTCAAAAATACTCAATTGATTGTAAATGCTTTGGGATTTCCTGAAGTTACCAAAGGCACTATAGAAATGCAAGTTCCTTCTTTAAGGTGGCTGTAACTGTTTTCTGTGCCCAAGGGACATAGAGAATTGGGTCTTTGTTGATCTTTCCAGAAATCCCTGTTGGAAATTGTGCACAAATTGACTGTCATGGAAGATTTGGAGAGTATTCAAATGTGTCGATGGAGAGTCATCTAGACTCGAAACATTGGCTTGCTCTCTCTCCATGGATGCTGCCTGACCCGCTGTGATTTCCAGCATTTTTCATTTTCAGTCATTCAACTGTGATGCTTTCCTAGTTGAATAGGCTTCCTATGTGAAGGTGATTACACCTAGGTGGGATACCAGTAGGCATTCATTAACCCTTGAAAGCAGCATTTCCCTGGGAAGCATCAGTGCCTTCGGGAAAGCAGGAAGATGATGTTGAAATATTTGTTCTAAAGCGTGTAGCATGGTTGTCATGTTCACCACCAGTCTGAGCTTTTTGCTTTTGTCACTGGGCAAATTTGCATTTTCTATCTGACCAAACCGGATGCAGCCATCGCACCCCCCTTGGGAGCTCTTGATCTTTTAGTCTATCTCCTTGAGTGAAATTAATGAAAGTATAGATGCCTCAGTGAGATCCTGATCTCATTTTCAGATTCAGACAGTGGTGAAGCAATTAAAAGCTGGGATTCTTTATTAAAAATGTCTATTTTTAAAAATGATTATTTTCAGAGTCCCAGCATGTTGGCTTCCTCTCTGTTCTTCATTCAGTTGTAAACTTCCTTTTTGGAGTGGAGTGAAAGACCTCTCTTGTTCTTTCTGGTTTGTTTTATCAGTTTTATTGTCAAGGATTCAGAAGTGGAAGAGGAACAGAGTGAGAGAGGGAGAGCAAGAGTATGTGAAGAGGACCCCTGAAACAAAACACAAAACACACAAGAGAGAATTTAGGCCAATTTATCAACCTCCCACAGAGTCGCAGGGCTGAAAGCTGATTGTATCTCATTCACCTTCTAATGCAGGAGATGTAGAGGGGTCAGGGGCGTTCCTCAGTTGGTAAAGGCTGTCAGAATAAGGGTAACACTCCTCTTCAATGTAAAATAATGAGATGGATCTTCCTTCTTAGCATATTCTCAGAAGTTACATTTCAAAGTAGATCTGTACAAAATCACGTAGTGGGTTTTGATAAAATAAACAAAGAGGAACTGTTGAGAGTCACGGGTGAAAATTAAAACTGAACACTTTATCTAACAAATTGGCAGAGATGGCCACAATCTGATTTGCAATCTCAGCCAGAATCCACCAGGCCCTGGGGATTGATACAACTGAGTAAGTTTACCAGGCAATGTAATAGGCAACCACATTGCTGTGGGTCTGGAGTCATATGCAAGCCAGATGAGGATGGCTGATATCCTTTCCTAAAGGACAGTACTGAACCGGATATATTTTATAAAAAATGAAAATAGTTTAATTGTAACCATTACAAAGTCTAGGCTTTAATTCAAGATTTATTAAATGAATTCAAATTCTACCAGCTGCCATGGTAGATTCAACCCCATTTTCACACAGCATCAGCCTAAATTATTTTACCGCTTGACCACTACCATGGCTTTAAGTGAGTGTGGGATGCCAGGATCATCATGATGAATAGGGACTCATGGCTGTAGAGGCAGGTTGGTTAGACCAATGGGTCTTTTCTTATCTACCATTTCCACATGTTCTTTTGCAATCAAGGTACACAGATTTAAGATCGTTGACAAAGGGACCAGGTAGGGTGATGACGATAAATGTTTTTATGTAGCGAGTCATCATGATCTTGAATGTACTGCCTGAAAACATGTTGGAATCAAATGCAACTGTAACTTTGAAAAGGGAACTGGACAAAAAGGAGAAATAAATAAAATTATTTAAGATTACTTGGATGACCTTTACAAAAAATTGGAATAGATGTGATGGGCCAAATGTACCCCCTATGTACTCTAAGTTTCAAAGTCACCAGCCTTGTGATTTTATCAATTGGGAACTGGCATTTCTTTTTTGTTTTTCTATTAAAACAATGCTGATCCCTCAGCCATATGGATCAACATGTTACAAATTTGATTCCTAGCATGCACTGATTTCAGTTTAGCAGGGCAGCAGAGTCCTACAGTTGGGCTCAATGCCACTTCAGCTAGGAATGAGGTTGTAGGAAGTAATGGGAGGAACAAGATTAGAAAAATTAACTGGTAGTTGCTAAACAATGCCTCCTGCTGAATAGTCAAAAAAGAGCAGAATTTTCCTTGCTTTTGCTATATTTTACTACTTGTGCCAACATGTAAAACCTGGAGGCTCCCAAGCTAATTTCCTCACAGTTCACTTCTGCTGCTCCTCTAACCCCACCACTGCATGACTCCTCAGTGGTAATGCACAGGCAACCAGTGAGGTTCAAGATTAAGCTTGACTGCAATGCTCCTATAGTCGAACAGTTAATTTGCACTGACTGTCTTTAGCTGCATAAATGAAAAGTGGCCACCAAGATGAGGTACCAGAGAGCAATGAGTTTTCATAGAACTGCAGCTTGATCTGATTTTCAGCCTAGGAAGGTAAATGATTGCTTTTTGTTGTTTATGTCTATCAAAATTAGGTCCTTCAATATTAAATTTTAAATTATATTTTGGGCATTTTTATCACTTTGATGCCAGCCTAAGTTTGGGTCCCTTCTCTTTTCACAGGTGCTATGGAGAGTCAGGATAGCCTTCAAGAGGTTAGAATGTTCTTCTAATACATACATAGCCTGTGGGAATGTAACATGTTTAATATTCCCGATATATCATACACATTTGAATATAGAGTTATTTACTATATATTGCCTATATAATTTTCTAACAAAATTATTTCCTATATATATTCCTGATGCATATAAATATTCCCTATATAGATAAATATTCTTTAAATTTATAAATATTTACAATAGAATTATTACCACTATATAATGTTCACTGCAGAAATATTCTCTGTATATAAATAGTTTATTTTGTATACATTCTTTACATAAATAAACACTTTCCCTAGGAAGATAGATTCCCTATTTATATAGCTACTTACAAATGACTTGGACTTGGCATATTATTAAGAATTGTACATGACTCATAAATGAAAATGTAGTCAACTGGGGAGTGAACTGGAAGTGATCTCAGGAGCACAGTCAGATTTGCAGATAGATTTAGTGTGAAATTCAATGTGGAGAAATTCAAGGTGATAGATTTGAAGGAGACAAACAAGGAGAACACGTGGCATGTATCACAGAAGAGTGAAACTGTAAAAGGAGAACAGCAGCAATTCTCATTTGCAGCACAGGAGGAAGGTATTCAGCCTGTTTTGCCTGCATTGGTCGACTATGATCCAACTACACTAATTTCATTTTCCATTTTGGCACATAGCCGTGCAGGCTATAGCAACACAGTGAAAACCTAAATATTGCTTAAACGTTAGCAGAGTTTTTGATTCAACCACTCTTTCAGGTAGTGAGTTCCAGACTCCCGCCACCCTCTCAATGAATAAAATTTTCCTCATATCCCCTCTTAGACTTCAGCCGCTTTCCATATATCTATGCCTGCTGGTTTGTGACCCCTCTACTAATGGAAAAATTGCCTTCCTATCCACCCTATCTATGCTCCTCATAATCTTATACACCACTATCAGGTCCCTCTCAACCTTCGCTACTCCAAGGAAAAGAATTGCTGCCTATCTGATCTGTCCTTAAACCTCAGATTTTCTAGCCCAAGCAGCAACCTTGTAAACTTCCTTTGCATCGTCTCTAGTGCAATCGCATCCTTCCCATAATTTGGTGACCAGAACTGCACACAGCACACCGGCTGTGGCCCAACCAGCATTTTCTATGTTTCCAGCACAACCTCCCTGCTCTTGTCTTTTAGCTCTCAACTAATAGAGGCAAGTGTCCCATATGCTTTCTCAACCATCTTATCTACCTTCCCTGCTACCTTCAGAGGTCTATGGGTATGCACACCAAGCTCCCCCTGATCTTCAGTATGTTCCAGGGTCATAATGTTCACAGTGTTATCCCTTGTTAGCCTTCCCGAAGAGCATTACTGCATACTTTTCATGGTTGAACTCCATTTGCCTCTGCTCTGTCCATCTGATCAGTCCATTGATATCCCTCTCACTTTTAAAGCTGTTAAACCTGCATGTACTTCTTCCATTTCTCTGTTCAATTCTTCTAATTCTTCACAAGTCCTCCACCCTGATCTCTACACATGCATCAATCTTTCCATTGTCAAGACCAATGCAAAATCTTCATCGAGGTCTGCGTCCGCAGACAGATTACCTCTATGGTCCCTACACTTGCCCTAGTCCTTCACTTGGTCATTATATATTTTTAAAGACCCCTTTGGGTTTTTCTTTATTCTGTCTGCTAATGTTTTCTCATGCACATTCTTTCATTTTCTTTTTAAGATTCCCCCCTGCACTACGTATACTCTTCTAAAGACTTTGCTGTATTGAGCCCTTAATGTCTGTCACAAACTTCACTTTTTCTCTTAATCCTAACCTTTATGTCTCTTGACATCCACGGTTCTCTGATTCCACCCTTTGACTTTACAGGAACATATTTGCTCTCTGTTCCCACTATTTCCTACCCAAATTCCTCCCACAGCACTGACACAGTTTTATCTGCAAGTAGCTACACCCAGTTCACTTGGACCGAACCTTAGCAAAATTAGCCTTTCCCCAGTTTAAAACTTTTAATCCAGGCCCATCCTTATCCTTTTCTATAATTATTCTAAATCTAACAATCACTATCTTCAAAATGTTCCCCTGCTGATACACTATTCACTTGCCTGAGCTCATTTACAAATATTAGGTTCATAACTATCCCTCCCTTGTGGAACTTTCTACAGACTGCTTAAAAAGTTCTGGATGCAATTTAAGAATTTTGTTCCCTCTCTGCCTTGCATCCTCAAACTATCCCAGTTAATAGTTAGGTAGTTAAAATCCTCTACTGGTACTACCTTATTATTTTTACATACTCTGAAATTTGATTAAGTATTTGATTCTCATCTCTCCCTGAGCTATTTGTGAGTCTATAGAACAGACTCAACAGCATACTTAACTCATTTGTGTTTTTTGCTTTCACCCAAATGGCCTCATTTGACAATTCTTCCAAGACATCATACCTCCTCACTGTTATAATTGATTCCTTGATTAATACTACAACACTCCTCCTCCTCTATTCCCCTCTCTATCTCACCTGAACACTTTATAACCAGCAATGTTGAGCTGATAATCCTGCCCATCTTTCAACCAAGTCTCAATCATAACTATGATATCATACTCCCACATGCCTACCTGTGCCCCTCAGCTTATCTACCTTATTGTTCAGGGTCCTTGCATTAAAATGTATTCCATGTAACCTTGTTAAACTTGCTTCTTACTTGTCTGGCCTCCCTTTCCTCTGCCTTTCAGGCTCACTTACTTGAGTTTTAACTCCTAATTCCATCTCAGTCTCCCCTCTGAACTACCTGTCAGGATCCCAACTCCCTGCCAATCTAGTCTAAATCCACCTGAACAGCATTAGCAAACCTCCCCACTAGGATGTTGGTCCCTGTTCTCATTTAGATGTGAGATGTAATCCTTCCACCTTGTAGAGTCCTTGTCTCTCCCAGAAATAGTCCAAGCCTCAGGAACCTAAAGCACTCCCTCCTGAGCCATCTTTCCAATCACGCATTCATCTGCTCTATCCTTTATGCTTATGCTTACTACTGTGAGTATCTGGAATTACTGCCTTTGAAGTCCTGCTTTGTAATTTCCTACTTAACTCCCTAAAGTCTGGTTGCAGTACTTCATTTTTCTTTCTATGTCATCAGTCCCAATGTGGACCATGGTCTCTGACTGCTCACCTACCTTCTTCAGAATGCCCTGCAACCATTCTGTAATATTCTTGCAGGAGCTTATAGAGAGAGGGAATGAGAGCACAAAGGGATTTGAAAACAAGATTGAGAAAGCTAGATCAAGGTGTTCCTGGGCTGTATTTTGATACAGGTCAGAGAGTGCAGGTATTTGATGAGTGACCAGGATCTGGTGCGAGTTAGGATTGAGGTATAAAAGATACAACAACTGAGGCAATGCTGAACTTAAACAGCTTGTTGGCTGGGTCACAGATGGAATATCATGCCCAGTTCTGGGACATCTCATTTGAGGAACAATGTCAAAGCCAACTTGGGGAAAATCTAAGATTGATCACAATCCCATTGAGAAGAGAATGCCAGAGAAATGGAAGTCTTCAACTTGTTTTTCACAGAGCAGAACAATGTGAAGACAAGAAGTTCTGGGCAATTCCTCATTTTCTCCTTCAACCAATAAAGAAAGAAAGCCCAGTTTTAACAACTTTAATGATTGAGACTCAACCTCATCAAAATTAAATCTCCCTGTAACTAAGTGCTCCTGTCTGTCCACATGCCCAGAAGAAATAATCAATCCTGACATGTTCTTCAAGATCATTCAGAGAATGATCCTACTTGCTAATGTGGCCAATAACATGTTTTCTTTTCTTATCTTTCAGCTGGAGCAGGTCAGAGAAAAGAGACAGCTTTCAAATCAGACACTGAGAGTCACCACCATTCTGGTAATCTTTCCTTTTATTACACATGTGGCACAACCACAAAAACCACAGCAATGCAAATAAATTTCCATCACCAAACAGGAATTTTTCTCATCAGATACATACATCAGCCTTTTCCATAGCAGTTATGTTTCAGAAGAGCAAAACCATAGTCAGTATCACAGACCAAACGTCATGATAGGTTAGAAACTAACTTTCACTTCTGGGTTCAAATCCAGTCCAAGATTAGTGGAAGATAATCTGCTCTGCCTAAGTAAGGCACCTGTGTGAAATTATTTTGACCGTCTCTTAACTATCATGATCTAACAGCACCAACATGCTACTAAATCCACAGTCTAGCTTGTACATGTCAGAAGGAAGGCAGATATGGGGAAATGGAATGAGCTTAATGTTAAATGAGAATTTTCAATAGAAACTTGGGCCAAACAGATCCAAAGATACTTCAGGAGACTAACAGAGAAATAAAACTTTAATCCTATCAATTATGAAATGGAATCATAAATCAGTGTCCTTGCAGGTACATTACTGCATCACTCCATCCTACTCCAACTTGGAATACTCAAATAATACAAACTCTAGTCCTTCAGATCAGTGCCAAAAGTTCTGCAGAAAAATTGGTGTCAGCTATACTAGTCCAGAGCCAGCGCACTATATCACAATGAAAGAGCTCAGCTTACTCATTAGTGCAAAGGACTTGGGGCTGTCAGTAGATTTTATTCTTTAATTTTAAGACAATGAGCTATTGCCACAAGTGATCTGGTGGTGAGAGAAGTTGTTTGGTTGGACGTGATGGCACTTCCAGATATTAAAAAAAGGAAAAACAATTGAAACTAAGAGCTGAGGATTCTTATAGTGCAGTGTTACTGTCCCTATCTCTGAACTAGGAGACTCAGGTTCAAGTCCCACTTTCTCTAGAGGTATGTTATAATAGGTTGATGAGGAAAATATCTTAAGGCAGTGAATTAATCATCCAGCCTGTCACATAAACTGCAGTGCCAAAATATTGCTGCACTCTTTCAGGTGCCATCTTCTAGATGAGTTGTAAATCCAGGGTTCCCCAAGTGACCATAAAAGATTTCACACCCATAATAGTCCTTGTCAACATTTATCCCTCAGCTGACACCAATAGAATAAATATTATTATGTCTGTTTTTGACCTCAAGCTTCCAGCCACTTGCCATTTCAATACACTATCTTGCTGTCATGCTAACATTTCTATCCTAGGCCTGCTGCAGGGCTCCAGCGAAGCCCAATGCAACTTGAAAGAACAGCACCTCATTTTCCACTTGGGCACTTTACAGCCTTTAGGACTCAATATTGAGTTCAACAACTTCAGACTAACACGAACACTGTTCTCCATTTTTATCATACCCTTTCCCATTCCCCTCCATCCATTGTTGCATTTGAATGGATTTTCTCCCAGCAAAGCTGAACTGTTATCTGCTGTACATTTTACCATTAGCAGCTATTCTGCAACTGTGTCTCTCCTCTACAACCATTAGTACTCCCTTTACCTTTTGCTCTTTTAAGGATTCTTATGGTACAATGCTAGTGTCCTTACCTCTGGGTGAGAAGGTCCAGCTTCAGGTCTCACCTGTCCTGGAGATGCATCATACCATGTCCAAAAAGGTTGATTAAAACAACTAAAACCTATCATGTTCAGTTCTAAAGAACAGTCATATTGGCCTTGAAATGTTAACTTTATTTCTTTCTTCACAGATGCTGCCAGGCCTGTTGAGTTTCTCCAGCAATTTCCGGTTTTATTTCTGGTTGTTTTTGTTGTTGGTGGGAGTTGATTGTGTGAAAATTGATTAACATGCTTTCTGACAGTATAACTGCAATTACATTTCAAAAGCACTTAATTGGGTGTCAAGTGTTTTGGGACATCCTGAAATTGTCTAAGATGCTATAGAAATGTAAGTTTTGCTCTTTAATCTAAATCTCTGCCTCTTTCTCCAGTTTATTCTGACAGCACATTTTCAGGACTCTTCAGGTTAATCTTCAGCGCCTAAAATTCTATTTCACAAAATATATTCTTCCTTCCAGACAAATCTTAATAAGATTATCTTCCAAAGCACATTTAATGTTGATCTGTGGTGAGAAACATGTACAAAGTCCTGAGCATAGCACTTGGGTAACCAGAATGGATGAGGTTACATGAGACTAATAAAAAGATTTAAACACTCAGTCAAATTAAAATGGTTAGATACCAGTCAGGCAGACAAGAAAGGAAAGATTTTGCATTATAAAGCATATTTCATTGGTGTGATTGGTTCAGTAAACATGCTGATGGGGTTTTCTTGACATTTTTATTCAAAAGCAAAGTCCATTTATTATGGCCAAGCCTTCGGGAGGTTTCGAAGGATTCTGTATCGACTTGCTTCAAATTTTCGCAGAAAAGTTAAAATTACGCTATGAGATCAAACTTGTGAAGGACGGTTTCTATGGAAGAAGACTGGAAAATGGCAAATGGACCGGAATGTTGGGGGAATTGATGGCAGAAGTAAGCTCTTTCTTAAGTTTCGTTTTTGAATGTGTGTGATAATCATTGACCATTCTTCTTTGCCTGAGATGGAGGGCCATCTTCTTGAATAAATTATGAGTCCAGGATTACCAGTTCAGGAATATAATCACAATGTCACTGGACACCAATAAGTGGACAAGTAAGTTTGGCTTTCCCTCCCTGTGGGTTGGTGCTAGTATGTTGTGCTGATTGAAGGTCAATAGCAGAATGGTAAAAGTTGTCATGATGTCTATTACACATGCCTCCTGCACATAGGTTTTCAGTCTGGTCAGTATGATGTGAGTCAGGCAGCATCAGAGGAGTAGGAGAGACGATGTTTCGGGACTGGTTCTGATGAAGGGTCTAAGCCCGAAATGTCAATTCTCCTGCTCCTCTGATGCTGCCTGACCTGCTACGTTCCTCCAGCTCCACACTGTATTGACTCTGATTCCAGCATCTGCAGTTCTTGCTATCTCAGTATGATGTGGTATCGGACTCCTGATTTTAAGATAGATGCATTCTATCTAGTCTTGGCTCCTAGCACCATTGTGAGATCAGAGTGAAGATGACAGGGAAACTTCCTTTCAGTGAAATGTTTACATTACTCAGATTGTGATGAAGGCATGGTTAATTTTCCATGGATCAGCATAGATTCAATAGACCAACTATTACAATGAAAATGATAAAGAATTAAAGAGGGAAGATGGACCTTTAACGCTACACTTTTTGGGAGAAGAGTGCCAGGAACGATCAATTTGCAGAGGGAGGCCTAAAGTCACAGGAAAGGTAACACAAGCTCCTTACACAATGGGTGAGGCAATAAGGCCTGTAGTTACTTGAAACTGCCTAACCTGCATACTGCTCCTATGTTTTTTACCAATATCCTTGGATTAATGAAGAGGAATATCAGGCAGTAGCCATGCTCCTGAACTTTTCCTGATTAAATTTGCTGCTGTGGCAAGTGCTGTTTATTGTGAAATAGCTCTCAACACTCATTGTCTAGCACAAGATATAAGGAAATGGAATGGATAAGGAGGCACCTTCCCCTCTGTTCAGGGATAGTGTGGTAAGGAACAGTACACCCAGCTTAACGTTTAAAGGTTTTTATGTAATTCCAAGCTTGCTGCTGTTGGAGAGAAGGGTTAATTAGTAATTTTCACCACTTCTAACTGATTCTTCTCAGGAGGCAGATGTGGCCATCGCTCCATTGACTATCACCATGGAACGTGAGAGGGTGTTCAGCTTCACCCGTCCATTCATGTCTGTGGGAATTAGCATCCTGATACGTAAAGACTCCAACAACCAGGGTGCCAGTCTTTTCCAGTTCCTGAGCCCATTCTCAGCTAACACCTGGCTCAGCCTTCTCATCGCCTACATCTTGACCTGTTTCTGCCTGTATCTTGCAGCAAGGTATTCTTTCAATGTTTGTCGGATTTAATTTTGACCAAATTGCAGCGGAATGCAAGATCAGATTTCTGATGACAGAGAGAGAAAAGTAAGAAGGAAATGAGGGGGATAAGTAAAGAAGGAGAAAAAGGAGAAAAAAATGAAGGGACTGCAAAAGCTGGAAAATAAGAAAATCTCCTTAGCTTGACATTTTCCATTCTTCCAGGGAACAAATTGTCAACTTTGTTAGAGAAAGTCATAATGATGGTCTGTACAGGAAGAGAAAAGAGCAACATTATAGGAGTTCAAAACATGAAATACTGTGGGTTTTATTCTTTCAGGGAATGTAGGCATTGCTGGTTAGGCCAATATTTATTGCTGACCCCTAACTGCTCAAGGGGAGTCAGGTATCAACCACATTGCAGACAGAACAGAGTTAGCATTGTAACAAGGTCAGCCAGGTGGACTTCATAACATATGAGTTCCCTGGTTGGGGCTGTTAATCTGGTCCAATCAGGGAACGCTCATTGACAGATAAGAACAGGAGTGTCAGACATCCTGTTCACTCTGAGAGCTGGCTCTGAGGGAGCTGGATCAGTGTCAAGGACTTTATGTGGGTACATAAAGGGTGACTTGGTGACGGGAAACCAGCTTCTGTGGAGTTATTTCAAGCATCACCAAAACTTCAAACAATGCCACAGGCCTGCATTGTCACTGATCCCTTCTGGTGCAACCACTCAGACCAAGAGCTTCCAGCAGCTCAATTGTGCCACTTGCTGGAATTTTGTTGGTACAGCAGCTGTTTGTAACTTTACAGAGTAAACCTCCATGGGCCAAATCTTAGAGGGATCGGAACAACTTGGGCTATTGTATAATGTTTGGCAGAGTCGGGCAATAATGGGTGGGGCTCTCCACTACTTCAAGATCATCTCACCTCACCTTTATTGCTTTTCACAAGGTCAGAAGTCACACAACACCAGGTTATAGTCCAACCTTAGGTTTATTTGAAATCGCAATCGTTTGGAGTGCTGCTTCTTCGTCAGACTTCACCAGATGGAGGAGCAACACTCTGAAAGCACGTGATTTCCAATAAACTTGTTGGACTATAACCTGGTGCTGAGTGACTTCTGACTTTGTCCACCCCAGTCCAACACCGGCACCTCCACATCATGGTTCTTCACAAGCGGCACGGTGAGATTCTTGCTAGGAAGCAGCAAGACACCAAATTGACAGCGATTGACGCTTGTTGAAGGCCTTGTTAAGGTCACAACTTCCCTCATTAATATTCAGCCTCCCAACTTATCAAACTTGCCAACAAGCTGGAGGTCAGGAAAACTCAACAAGGAAACCAAAGCGTGTACCTGGTGAGCTCAGCTCCCCACTTGCCCTGAACAACACCCATGCTGCCCACAACCAAACAATAACACAGGAGCATGATCCATGGGCATCAGGCACACACACCCCGCACTGTAGGACACTGCATCTGACATCTGCCAATCCCAGATGACCAGCCGGGCACTTCTCCAATGCACTGGAAGAACAGACTCATATTGCAGGATGCAGTGGCAATTAGCATTGAGCGGCTGCGGTAGGGACACTTTGTGCACAGGACCAGGCACCAAGCTTGCAGAGCGGGTTGGGCTAGGCTGGGCTATATCTCAGTGCTGCTCACTTGCTCTCTTTGTGTTCACTCACTTAGTGGTAACCTACATGCTCTGCCTTGCCTTTCCTTGCCATGCAATTTGTGCAGTGACAACAACAGGCCATTTTTCTTGAGTATGTGCCTCTGTTGTACATGGAATGTGTCATGGCCAGTCTTTTGGTTCCATAGTGGCAAGTCTGGATGTAAGGTTAATACAGTAGGGAAGATGTATAGGCACCAGTCAAGGATCTAGACACACTTAGTCCAGGGCTGTCCAGTCAGTCAGTTCAGGGGGTGGATCATCATCATGGGATCAGGGAGGCGTGTGTGTTCATTGCTGCAGAACTGAGCCCTGGCAGGTTAGCCTCCTGGACTGGGGACTGCAGGCTCTAGGGAAGGGCACAATGGGGAAGAAATAGCTGCAGGCACACTCAGAATGGGCGAGGTAAGTGACTCAACCTGTGAGGGAGGGAGCTGTAGCAAACACCTATCATCAGGCTTTTCAGAACGTTGTTCACTGGCCCATACAACGTACAACACACAGGAAAGCAGGTCGCTGACTCCCTGACCATCCTACATCATTGATCTTCTCTGCGTGTTACATCTCCCTGGCGCAACCAACTATTAGACAGCTCATTGTCAGTCACTGTCAGCACTTCTTGCACACAGAGGGAATGCTGAACAGTAGGGATGTTGCATAAGGAAGGCCAAAGGTTTTCAACATGACCCAATGTCATGTATACGTATTGCTCCCTGTGCTTCCAGATGGTGCATTAGGGTCTCAGCACAGAGCTCTATCCATGGCGCCTCATCTGTGCCATGAAGTAGTGGTGGGTGGTGTGAAAATGCCTTTAGTACAAAAACAGACTCACAACCGCTGGTAAGTTAAAATCAAGAACATTTTGTGCATAAACTGAAAGTGACCTACAAACCATTTTCACCCATGCCACCAAAGTATGTTTTCTTCTTTCTCCCCCTTTCTATGGCACATTGGCTCAGTGGTTAGCACTACTGCCTCACAGTATCAGGGACCCGGATTCAATTCCAGCCTTGGGTGACTGTTTATGTGGAGTTCGTACATTCTCACCGTGTCTGTGCGGGTTTCCTCCGGGTGCTCTGGTTTCTTTCCAAAGTCCAGGTTAGGTGGATTGGCCATACTAAATTGCCCATTGCCTCCAGGGATGTGCAGGCTAGGTGGTCTGGGTGGGTTGCTCTTTGGAGGGTTGGTGTGGTTTCAATGGGCTGAATAGTCTGCTTGCACACTGTGGGGATTCTGATACTACATCTTAGTGGACTTTCTGGTCTACAGCTGGGGTCAAAGAAGCCTGTTCAGCTGTTGAGCCTATAAGCCCTGGAGGTGTGGTAGGGTGACCCCTGGGGCATCTGTCTGGACAGACTAGGCATGCCGAGGGTCTTCTTGCCAGAGACAAGTCAACCTTCCTTTGCTTCAAGTTCCAAGGGTCACAGGGGAGTAGGCAGGCTGGAGGCAGTGGGTTCGGCCACCAATGCAGGATCCTGAGTCTGGGTGCACAGTGACTTTTTAGAGATAGTACAACTGCAATGGATTCTGAGTTTTCAGTGGATATGCACTGAGTGGTGATTTTTTTTGTGGAAATGGCATGTGGAAATTGGACATGAGAGCACCATAGCGGAATGATAGGCAATTAATGAGATGAGTTTGGTATGATAGGACAAGAAACCCTCCCAAAACTCAACGCAACTTGGACTTAGCCAAAAAGCATAAGGTTCAGGCCCCCTCTTTCTGTTCCCTCAAGCACTTTTGGGATATGAGACAGCATGGCTAAAGTAAATATCGCACTTTAAAAGTTTATGGTTATAAAAATCAAATGGGGTAAAATATTGCTTTTATGGAGAATTACTGGATGTTAACTAAACAATGCGCAATATTTGATGCAACCATTATTTTGCAGACTGAGTCCCAATGAGTGGAGGGAGCCTGAAGTTGAAAATACCCATTTCTCACTGTTTGACAGTTTCTGGTTTGGAGTCGGAGCTCTCACTCTACAAGGTAAAGTATCTCTGAGCACAGAGTCAGGAGCTGACAGTGGGCTTGAATGAGCTGGGTTCTGTCCTGTAGATTGTCATATTTTCCATGATTTGCCAGGGTGTAAAAGTCTGGTCAGTGCTAATCTTCCAGCTCAGCTTTGTTTTTTGATTTTGATTTGGTCATTGTCACATGTACTGAGATACAGGGAAAAGTATTGTTTTGTACAATCATACAGATTTTTGTAGAAATCATACTAGACAAATCATACTTTGCATAAGTACATCAGGGTAATAGAACAGAATGCAGAATATAGTTTTACACTCTACACAGAAGGTGCAGAGAAAGATAGTTCTGGTGAGATCTGGTCATAAGTCTGGCAACAGCCAGGATGAAGCATTTCCTAAATCTATTGCTACATGTTTTCAAACTTTTGTTTCTTCTAACCAATGGAAGAGGGTGGAAGACAGTATAACCAGGGTGGGCAGGATCTTTGATTATTTTGGCTGCTTTCCTGAGGCAGCAGGAAGTGCAGACGGAGTCAATGGAACGAAGGCTGGTTTTCGCAATGGACTGGGCTGAATTCACAACTCTCTGTAATTTCTTGCGGTCTTGGACAGAGCAGTTGCCACACAAGCTGTGATGCATCTGGATAGGACGCTTTCTATGGTAATTGACATGAGACTGCAAAAGAATGTAAAATCCCCTTAGTTTCTGTGCTCCAGGTCTTTGGACTTTCACTGGCTCCTGTCCCAAGAATCCAGAAGAATCAGTAAGAGTACTGTAGATCTAGCTAAAGGTGAAACTGTTCTTCAATGGTAATAGCAATCTGCAATAGTAAAGTGCTCCTTCTTTACTGTCCTCCAATGATGCAACACTCTGTCATTGCTGCCCCACGAACACAGTGCTCCAGGAGCTGTTTAACTAGGACTTTGTATATATGCAGAACAACTGATACCCCTTGTAAGAACATGAGAAATAGAAGAAGGAATAGACCAGTTACCCCCTCCAATCTGCCCCACCATTCTATAAGATCATGGCTTTTCTGCCCAAGGCTTCACCTCCACATTCGTGCCAGCTCAGCATAGGCCCGAATATCTCCTTATTCTGTAACTATGCCTCCTAGTTTGAAAGTCCCTCACTAGTGGAAACATGATAGATATGTCTACATCTATCTGCTAGGTTCAAAGTCCTGAATTTCAGTCGCCTTTTTGATTATTTTCTGTACCTATCCAAAACATTTTAATGAGCTGTGTTCAGGATCTCTTTGGAGCTTCATTGTTTCTAGTTTATCATCATTTAAAAAGTACTCTGACTTAACCTTTTTAGGTTTATCAGATTAAATAGATTTGCCAATTATGCTTTTTCATTTTATTAGCATCTCTGCAATTTTGTGCCTCCATAATTTCAATTTATAGAACACGTTTAACACAGTAAGATGCCAACTTACAGATTGCAATGTTGCCTACCTTTCTGTAATTGGAAAACTTTGATATATAGCTTTTTATCCTGTCAACTACAAGAGTAATAAATATGTTGAATAGTTGAAGCTTCAACATAGATCTCTGGGGGACCCCATTAGTCACATCCTGCCATTCAGAGTTCTTGCCCATGTTTGCTCCTGTTTGCCTTACTATTTAGCCAATTTCCTAACAACGTCAATAATCCGTCTTCAGTTTCTTCATGGTAGTATAATCTGTCCAGGATCATGTAGGTATTTTGGTAGGGCACCAGAAAGTGGCTGGTAGTCATTTGGATGTATCCTTGCAAATTATCCCTCAATGATGTCTTTGAAAGCAGAGGATAGAAATGGGAGGTAGGAGTGCTGTGTGTTGCTCTGGCCTTCATAATAAAAAAAGTGATAATAAGACACAAGATTTACAAGAATAATACAAGAATGGAGGGGTCAATACTGGCTAAAATAACTGAACAGACTGGGGCCCTTTTTTCTAGAAAACAGAATAAGGAGTGACCTTATAAAAGTCTTTGTATTTATGAATTTTGATAATGTAGAGGTAAAAAAGATGTTAGACTAGTGGGATTACAAAACTAGAATGTATGATTGTCACTAATAAGGAATTCAGGAGAAACTTCTTCATGGAGAAATGTGGAACTCAATATCATATTGTAAATTATGTGAGCTGAATAGCATAAATGTTTCTAAGGGAAAGCTAGGTAAGCAAGAGGGGGAAAGGAATAGAAAAATACACTGATTGACTCAATGTAGGGTACAAAAAGAATCACATGGAGTGTAAGCAGCAGTCGGGTCAAGTTGGGCTGAATGGTCTGTTATTGTACTGTAAATTCTGTAAAAATAATATCCTTATTGTATTTCATTAGGTGTGGGGCCACATCCCAGAGCTCTGTCCACACGTATCATTGGGATAACCTGGTGGCTGTTCGGCATTGTTTTCCTGGTAGCGTACATTACATATTTTGCAGCCTCATTGAATTCAGAGACTCAGGGACCACTGATCAAATCCTTTGCTGATCTTGCAGAACAAAATGAAATTGACTATGGCACAGTATATGGTGGTTCAACGTTCTCATTCTTCAAGGTATGCACTTGGAGATGGATAAGTATGGATATTGCAGCGCACCGGTTACAATACAGGAGAAAAAATCCAGGCGCGTAGACTAATAATGTGCACAATGTGTGCAAGTCCCATTGTGGTAGCTTGTGAATTTGAATTCAAGTTCTAAAAATAAAATCCTAACAACTCCTGCAACTGGTTTTAGTAAAAGTAACCGAGAATCTGTCAGGCTGTCATAAAAGAAACAGTTGGTTCACTAATTTATTTTATGGAAATAAATTTCAAATTTTGGCATGTGACTCTATATGGTTAACTCTTATTTGCCCTCTTTGGTGGCCAAGCAAGCCACTCAAAGGTTTGAATAAGTGGTTCACCTACCATCTCCTCAAGGTAACTATGGGTGGGCAACAAATTCTGGTCTTGCCAGTGATGCACACACAGGAATGTGAAATGTTAAACATCCTTGAGTGCAAAAAAAATTTGAAAAATCCTGATAACTAATCAGTGAAGAGCAGCAAAGCATCCATCAAAAAAGAATGTTTGGCTAATTAGGAGTGAGATCAGCATAGCTAACAACTAATAAAGTCTTAGCTGAGGGCTCTTGTACCACAGTAGTAAAATCCCTCCCTCAGGACCAAGATACCCAGGTTCATGTCCCATCTGCTGCAGAGGTGTGCAACAATATCTCTGAACAGGTTGATTAGAAAATATCTACAGTATAATAAGGCAACAGTGAAATCCATTAATGTAGTCAACAAATAGATAGGAATTAACAAAATGCTGTTTCTATCCTAAACAATTTGATCTTAGAGGTTTATAAAATCATGAGGGGCATGGATAGAATAAATACACAAGGTCTTTTCCCTGAGGTGGGGGTGTCAAAAACTAGAGGGCATTGGTTTAAGATAAGAGGGGAAGATTTGAAAGGGACCTAAGGGTCCCAGAGGGTGGTGAGTGTATGGAATGAGCTGCCAAAGTAGTAGAGGCTGGTACAATTACAACATTTAAAAGGCATCTGGTTGGGTATATGAACAGGAAGGTTTTAGAAGGATATGAGCCAAATGCTGGCAAATGGGACTAAATTTATCTAGGATATCTGGACCAAAGAGTTGGACCAAAGAGCCTGTTTCCAGGCTGTACATCTCTATGACTCTAAATGAGGATGATTCAAGTCACCTAAAGCCTTGAATCCTTTCACAATGTTATAGCTGGTCGAAATCTGAAATGAAAGCAAGAAATGCTGAAAAATAGACAGCAGGTCAAACAGTATCAGTTGAGATAAAAAACAGGGAAGTAACAATTCAGATTGATGATCTTTCATCAGAGCTGGAAAGAGTTAGTGATTTAATGGTTTATAAGCAGGTGCAAAGCCTTTGGGAAAAGGGGAAAGAAAGAACACATAGGAAGATCTGCACCACAGTGGAGAGTAGCATGTGATGAAAAGATAAAAAGGGTAATGGCAGAACATGCAAATGATGGATGTAGAAGTCTAAGATGCTGAGGGATTAGCATTTATCTAATTTCTACTTATCATTCTATTAACAAATGTTTCTTTTATTGAAACAAATATCTTCAATATTATTGCAGCTCTCAAAGATTCCAATCTACCATAAAATCTATGAAAAAATGAACAGTAAAAGTGATTCTGTCTTAGTTCATACAATGGAAGAAGGGATACAACGAGTGCTCAACTCCAACTATGCCCTGATTGGTGAATCCTCAACAATAGACCTGGCTGTTGCAGAGCACTGCAACTTGATGAGGGTTTCCAACTTTGCAGCTATTAGGGGATATGGAATTGCTACTCGCCTTGGTGAGTTGCAACCTCTTTACTAATTCAGTTGTCTTATTTAAGATAGTTGGATGTGTTTCTTGAGAAATTTAACATTTTGATTGCAATTCAAAGAATTTGGATTGACTACGGTATGCTTTGGAATGTCCTGGTGACAGGTGATGCCTTATATAACTTCACACCAATTCAACATTCCATATTTCCATCCCCACCAAATGAATATTATGTCTTCTCACGGTTGTACAGTTTAATTATCAATTGTACTTCAGGAATATGTCATGCTTTGTTTTGTTTTTATCTCAAGGTGACCCACTTAGAGACTATTTGACTCATACCCTTTTGGAACTTGAGGAATCTGGACAACTCCAGCAGCTGCAAGCGAAATGGTGGAAATCTTCATGTAGTGTTGAGCACTCAGCAGAATGGAGTCCACTGAAAGTAAACCAGATTGGGGGCACCTTCCTCTTTCTAGCAATTGGATTGTCATTGGCCTTAGTTGTCGCTTGCATCGAATTGGCTGTCAAATCAAGAAAAAAGGCTGATCAAGATGTATGTATTCCAGTAATTCCTCCTTCCAAACCCCAAAGGTATTTTTCTCCTCCTCTTCCTAGTTTTACTACACCACACAGCAAAGGGGAGAATAAGGCAAAATTCCGACATCATTTCCCATGGCACCTCAGTTAGCTGCAGAGGTAGATGAGGCAATGCACATTCACAGAGGACAAAGGGGAAAAGTTAAACACACTTACTATTCATCTAACTCTTTACAATGCACACATGCACACTGTTTCTCGTGCACATGTCCTCTCAGTTTTGCACAACTGTACACATTCCCAGCCTCTCATACATTCTAATAAGTACACATTGTACACACATTCCACCCTTACATTGATACTCACATTCACACTTTCACACTATTCTCTCCCAGCCACACATACAGTCTATCACACACAATATAAAATACACTGTCCCGGAATTACAGGAAGAAAACAATTGGACTGACAATAGCAATGGCTCAGGGTGCCCGATCCCTTTCATTAATTTATTTATCTTTTTTCCTTTGTACACTCTCTAACTCCAGGATATCCTGTTTTGTGATACAGACATCATAACTAGGTATTACTCAAAGTGGAGTGAGCAAGTCTGTTATATATATAGGGACTGTGAAGGAGAGAGTCAAGACAAGCAGGAGTCTCCCTCCCGCTGCCACATCCTCACTTTCCTCTCCTCCTCCCCACCATTCATAGCTGCAACAAGTTTAAAGCTGGAACCCTTAAGTACACATGCATGAATTTAAACAGTGCATAGGACACATGCACGTGGTATCAATACACATGGCCTATATAAACTGTCACATCATGGAATTTGTGTTTTTTTAAATTCTTCATGCAATATAGCATTACTCACTAGGCCAGCATCTTTTACCCCTTTCTAATTGCCCTGGAGAATGTTTTGGTGATCTTCCTTCTTGAACGCTGCAGTCCTTAGGATGCAGAGGTACCCATGTTAAGAATTATGATCCAGGATGTTGACCCAGGAGCAATGAAGAGAAGGCTATATAGTTCCAGTCAGAATGGTGTTTGTGCCTTGCAAAGGTGATGATAATCCATGCATCTGCTGGCCTTGGCCTTTTAGGTGGCAGAGGTGGTGTATTTGGAAGATATCGTCAAAAGGGCCTTGGTATATGACTGCAATGCCTCTTGTATATGGTACTCACTGCTACCATTGTGCATTAGTGGTGAAAGGAGAGAATGTTGAAGATGGTGGGTGGGGTGTCAATCAGGCAGGGCTCTGAGTTGTATGGTGTTGAGCTTCTTATGTTTTTGGAGTTGCACAATGCAGACAAATGGACAATATTCCATCACACTCCAGATTTGCATCTTGTAGATGGTCAACAATCTTTGGGAGACAGGCAGTGAGTTACTTGTTGCAGACTTCCTCATGTCTGCTCTTTGAGCCACACATTGGCTACAGCTGGTCAATGGTGCCTCCCAGAATATTGATAGGGGGAATTTAGTGGTGGTAATGCTAGTGAATGTTTTGGGCAATGGTTAGATTCTCCTTTTTGGAGATAGTCATTCCCTCTCATTTGCTTGGCATAGATGCTACTTGTCACTTATCAGCCCAAACCTGGATACTGTCCTGGTATTGCAGCAGATAATCACGGATACCTTCCTTTGTGCTAAGTATAACTTCAAACAATGTAATGTTTCCTCCCTATTTCCATTGATTGTAGTTTTGCTCGGGCTCCTTGATGCTGCACTCAGTTAATATGGCCTTGATGCCAAGGACAGTAATTCTTACTTCAATTATTCTTACCTCACTTCTGGAGTTCAGCTCTTTTGTCTATGTTTAGACCAAGGATGTAATGATGTCTAGAGCTAAATGATCCTGATGGAACCCAAACTAAGCATCAGTGAAGACTTTATTCCTTTGAAAATACCACTTGATAGTACTGTTGATAACTATTTTTGTCACTTCGCTTAAAACCAAGGCTAGACTGATATGACGGTAATTGGAAAGGTTGGATTTGACATAAAGATAGGTGAAGGGACAGGTAGTGTTGAGAAAGCAAGGAGGCTGTAGAAGGACTAGGACAGGCTAGGAGAGTGGGCAATGAAGTGGTAGATGGAAAACAATGTGGGAAAGTGAGAGGTTATGCACTCTGGCAGGAAGAAAAGAGCATAACTATTTTCTAAATGGGGAAAGACTTTGGAAATCTGAAGCATAAATGAGCTTAGAAGTCCTGGTTCAGGATTCTCTTACTATTAACATGCAGTTTCAATTAACAGTTAGGAGGGCAAATGCAATGTTAGCATTCATTTCAAGAAGACTAGAATATAAGAGCAGAGATATAATGCTCCATCCACATGGATAAGGAAAACCACCAGTTCAATTGGGACAACACCAGGATCCTGGGACAGGCGAAGCAGAGACAAGTATGGGAATTCCTAGAAGCCTGGTACTTCACTAAGAAAGCCATCAATAAACATATTGAGCTAGACCCCATATACACTCCACTGTGAACGGACACCAGAGTTTAAATAACAGGCGGGTAAATATAACCCAGCTCAACGGACACCAGAGTTTAAATAACAGGCGGGTAAATATAAAAGCACTTCATCAAAGGCTGCACTGATGATGTTACCCAGCAGGGTAATGAAACATCTGCGGAACGACGAACCAGCTCGGTGAGCGAACTAACCATAACATCACAACCCAAGCTACAAATCTACTCTAAAACCTTAGATATAATGCTGAGTCTGTATAAGGCTCTGATCAGACCATATTTGGAACATTGTGAGCAGTTTTAGGCTCCGTATCTGAGGAAGGATGTGCTGGCATTGGAAGGGGTCCAGAGGAGGTTTGCAAGAATGATCCCAAGGCTGAAGAGTTTGTCATATGAGTGGTTGAGGACTTTGGGTTGGTACTCAATGGAGTTTGGAAGGATGAGGGGGCATCTCATTGAAACTGACAGAATAGTGAGAGGCCTGAATACAGTGGACATAGAGATGTTTCCATTCATAAGAGAGACTAGGAACTGAGCGCACAGCCTCAGAACGAATGGGCAACCCTTTAGAATTGAGGTGAGGAATTTCTTCAGCCAGAACATGGTGAATCTGTGGAACTCATTGCCGCAGAAGGCTGTAAAGGCCAATCATTGAGTGTATTTATGACAGAGATAGATAGGTTCTTGGTTGGTAAGGCATCAAGGGTTACAGGGAGAAGGCAGGAGAATGGGGTTGAGAAGTATATCAGCCATGATCAAATGGTGGAACAGAGTTGATAGGCTGAATGACCTAATTCTGCTCCTATAGCTTATGATCTTAAGGATTTGTCCTTATTTTTGTGAACAGAACCAATCTGGGCAGTTCTCCACATTATTGAGTACATGCCAGTGTTGTAGCTATACTGGAGCACCTTAGCTAGGGATATGGCAAATTCTGGAGCACGTCTTCTGTATTGTTGCCATAATGTTGTCAGACCCCATAGCTTTTGCAGTATCCAGCGCCCTCTTGAACATGGAGTAAACCGAATTGGCTGCAGGCTGGTATGTAAGATCCTGGGCCCTCAGGAGTTCAAGATGGATCATCTACCTGGCATGTATGCCTGAAGATGGATGTAAGTGTTTTAACCTTGTTTTTTGCACTGATGTGCTTGATAGCCCCACTGAAGATTGGGATGTTTGTGGAACATCCTTCTCCTGTTAATTGTCTAACTGTTCATGGATATTGTTACCCCTGTGTTATGACCAAGATTGTAACAGTACACTGTCTTTCTCTAGAGATAGTAGGAACTGCAGATGCTGGAGAATCCGAGACAACAAGGTGCAGGGCTGGATGAACACAGCAGGCCAAGCAGCACCATAGGAGCAGAGAGGCTGACGTTTCGGGCCTAGACCCTTCATCAGAAATGGAGATGTCTAGGCCCGAAACGTCAGCCTCTCTGCTCCTATGATACTGTCTTTCTCTAGTTGTGCTGGTATTGCAGCATATGGACATAAACCTATTCAGTTACAGAAGAGTCACAAATTACATTGAACATCATGCAACCATCCCCCACCTCTGACCACATGATAGGGTGAAGGTCATTGATGAAGCTGATGAAGCAGCTGAAGATGGTGATGTCCTTGAACTGACTTGATTTTTTTATCTGGTTCCACTGTTCCAATGTCACAATATAAATTTAATTTAGTATTGTTGAAAAAAGAAAACCTTTGTCACTAGCCAAGTGGTTTGGTGAATTGCTACAACCAGTTTTGAGCAAGTTTCCCACATATTTGATGAAGATTTCTTTCACGTTTGCCAAGACATACGGAATTTGCATATCAATAGCAATTGTAGTATCCATGTGCTCTTTTAACAAATTTATTTTCACTGGTCAATGTATGCTTTCAGACTTGCTTTATCAGAATTTCATAACTAGGACCTGAGCCATTTGTTCACCATGCAAGTTTGATGCCAAAATAGAACACATCAAAGCCAACTTGTAGGATAATGACTACTTTGATCAGATCATTTCTCACACTATGTCATGCAAACTCACAATTTTGCAGCTGTTTTACGTGAGAACTGGTGGACACTGGTGCAATCAACAAGGCCACATCAACAGCAAGTTGCTCAAGGAACTTCGGCTCAGAGCTGATGAGCTGAAGTCTGATGCCACACACAGACTGCTGTGTATTATTTTGGTCCCCGTACCTAAGAAAGGATGTCTTTGCATTGGATTTCAAAACAGATTCATCAGGCTGACTCCTGGATGTAGGGGTTAGCTTATCAAAACTAGCTAACAGGCTAGGCCTTTGTTCATTAGTGTTTCAAAGAATGAGGGGTGATCTTATTGAAATGTACAAGATTCTGAGCGGGCTTGGCAGGGTAGATGTTGAAAAGATATTTCTACTAATGAAGGAGTCTCAAACAAGAGAACATAATTACAGAAAAAGGGGACACCGATTTAAAATTGAGATGCGAAGGAATTTCTTCTCCCAAAGGTTAGTGAATGTATGGAAATCTCTTATCCCAGAGAGCTAGAGAAGCTAGATCACTGAAAGTGGGCTGGCAAGGTTGTTAGCAGTGCTGCCTCACAGCGCCAGGGACCCAGGATCAATTCTACTCTTAGGCAAATGAGTGGAGTTTGCACATTTTCCGTGTCTGTGTGGGTTTCCTCCCACAGTCCAAAGATGAGTAGATTAAGTGTATTAGCCATGGGAAATGCAGTGTTACAGGGATAAGGTAGGGCGATGGGTCAGTGTGACTTGTTGGACCAAATGGCCTGCTTCCACACTGTAGGGATTCTATGATTCACTGAAAGTATTTAAAGAGAGGTACATATATTTTTGAAATAGGAGGAGCCCTCAAGATCATGTTGAATAGTAGGACATAGCTTATCCTGCACCTATTTTCTTATGTAAGGTACACACAATGGAAAACAAGAAAAAAAGACTTTCCTCACTTTGAGAAAATAAAAATAAACTCATTTGGTCATTAACTCTGAGTTCTAGAAAGCACAAAGGATAAGGTTTGAGATGTTCAGATACTTGTTGGCTTGACATTCTGGCATATATAGATGAGCTTCATCAAATAGAGGCAATTATTTCTGGATCTTGACAGACAGTTCCTTGGGGAACACGGTATCGAAAAGCCAATCTTCAAGAGGACGATCAGGATTGACAACGAGGTTTTTCCAAAAACAGGAGAACTGACATTCAGCAGACTGGTCCAAAGTATATTCAAAGCAAAGCACAGCAACCTGACAGTCATAAACTGGACAGGGATCATCAGTAAACAAGCATTTATCACAAATGTAACTGCAAGAAGCAACTGTATCCAAAATCTTTAAAAATCAAGTCCATAAAAATTATTAAATATTATGCCATCATAGGCATATGCTGCTTCCACTGTTGGCATGTAAGCAGTCTTGTGTCGTCGCTTCACTAGGTTGATCTCTCATTTTTAGGTTTGCTTCGTGCTGCTTTCAGCACACCCTTCTGCAGTCTCCTTTGAATCAAGGTTAATCTACCTGGAAGGAAATGGTAGACTTGGGATAATGCAGAGCCATGAGGTTAGATTGTGAATGAGTTAAATTCTACTCCTGATGGCCCAATTTTGAGTTGCTAGATCCGTTTGAAGTCTGCATGGTGATAGGCTACACAACACAATGGTCTCAACAATGACTGTGCAGTGATCATTCCTACTAATACTATCATGGACAGATGCATCTGCTGTAGATGTGAGAATGACTTCAGTGAATTACTGCTCCAGGTCTGTATTCTTCATTATTCAGTTTCACTTTGAATAATGTTTCATGATGACTTTCATCCACAGTATGGCTTTGTGGAGAAGGGGTTCACTTGAAAAATCCGGGTCCTTTCTCACAACAGAACTGACCAATTCTTCTCAGGCCATCATTCTCCAGGGTCAACCAAAATTCTAACACATTGTAAAAGAGGGTGGTAAATGTCACTGCCCACCAACAAAAGGAGTCAAAAGTCAGTATGTAACAAGGTTAAAGTTCTAGACTTAATTTCAGACGGGATTCACATCTGAAAAGCCACTTTCTTAAAATGGCAATCCCACTTTGAGAAGCCACAAGAATAGCTATTGTAAGCAGTCGTTTTTCAGGCTATGCAGTAAATGGTGTGGGGTTCACAGTTCTGAAGCTAAAGCAGCTGGTGGTCTCTGACTTGAAGTGATGTGGTTGACAAAACTGGAAAGGGCTTTTGACTCAATCATAGCCAATGTCATGACTTGTCTTATGTTCTCTTTTGTTCTTTATTTATTTACAGAAATCCTGTTGCAGAATCTTCACTGAAGAACTTAGTCTTCGGTTTAAAGGGAGAAGTGAGGCCAATAAAAAGACCAAGGCCTGAAGACCACTCAGTAAAGGATGTCTGTTCACTTTGATGATCCAATCTAACCCATTTCAATTCTTCTTCTAATGCAAGTTATAAATTGAATCAAATGCTAACCTAGAAAATTATAGCATATAACTAAACGTCCAACCTTGAAAGAGATTATTAATTATTTTATGTAACTAGAAATTGGTAATTAAAAAGTTGAAATGCACAGTAAATAACAGGCTTTGGAAATGATGTTAAACAATGCAGAAATAAACTGCAAGGGTACATGTCAGAAGTAGGAAATGTTTTCAAACTAATTAATTCAAAACAGGCCAAGCTGGATTGAGCCACACTCCACAAGATCAGACGTCTGATTATCCCAATGGACCAGCTGACTCCAAGAATTTATAACCCCTACCTGTGTCAGCTTTAGAGACCTTAGCCTGACTGTACAATGTGACGGGCAATTTTAATCCAGTACTTGGATAAGTCTATAGTATAAAACTTACACCAACTTTGCACAAACAGGCCATAGCAATCTGACTGGCCAAAAATCGTTGCTCTCAAATATTGCAAGTACCAGTGCAATAAGGGGGAATCTGAGGTTTAGGTCTGAGGCACATTGTGTTATTCGATTGCACAATCTTTAACCTTTATACATTGTGTCTGACCTGGGAATACAATATCTAAAATAGGGCAATATTTTATTCTCCAGCACCCCTCAATTTAAAGGAGAATTTTTGATTTATTTTTGGAACTTGCATGGTTTTATTAGTCACGCTATCTTATTTATGACTTATGCAGTACTCTGTAAAAGCACGATGTCATATCAGTGTTGATTTAGACTATCACCTCAATAAAATCTTGTATACACACACTTACATTAAACACAATTTTTTTGTTAAGGTTAATATTTAACTCATGGGCATTTTACTTGGTGACCTTACCCTCAAAGCTGACAGTCTTACTTAAAAAATTTAAATATTTATTATAAGAAGGTTTATAACTTTAACTTAGTGGACATTTGCTTTTAAAATGGTTGTTCATATCCAGGGTTAGCAGGATAGAAACCAACACACCAAGACAACTACCTTTCCGTAAATAGCCGGGAGTTTGAGTGAGAGAGATTTTTGATTGATTGATTGATTTATTGATTGTCACATGTACCGAAATACAGTGAAAAGTTTTGTTTACGAGCAGTGCAGGCAGATCATAGTAAGCAAAGGATGTACAGTTCAAAAGACTTAGATTGCACAGGGCGTGCGCTAGGAGAGATCAACATTAGCAAGATCAGCATTATTTGTGGCTAGAGAATCCATTCAACAGTCTGATAACAGCCGGGAAGAAGCTGTTCCTGAACCTCCTCTTGTACGTTCAGGCTTCAGTTTCTTCTGTCAGATGGAAGAGGTCGTAGGAGATCATTACCGGAGTGCAATGGATCTTCAATGATGTTGGCAGCCTTGCTGCAGCAGCAGGCCCTGTAAATAGACATCAGTAGATGGAAGGTTGGCTTCTGTGATGGTCTGGGCTGCGCACACCATCTTCTGTAGTTTCATTCAGTCCATGGCAGAGCAGTTGCCATACCAGGCCATTATGCACCCGTACAGTAGGCTTTTGATGGTGCAGCTGTAAAAGTTGGTGAGGAACCTTATTGACATGCCAAATTTCCTGAGCCGCTTGAGGAAGAACAGGCGTTGTCATGCCTTCTGGACTGTCACATCTACATTAGAAGTCCAGGACAGATCGTTGGTTATCATCACTCCAAGGAACTTGATGCTCCTTACCCTCTCAACCTCAGTTCCATTGATGTAGATGGGGGCATGTTCTCCTCCTTTCCTTCTGAAGTCAATGATAAAGTCTTTAGTTTTGCCAACATTGAGATACAGATTGTTTTCATTGCACCACATCACCAAGTCCTCTATCTCCCTTCTGTAGTTTGACTCATTGTTGTTAGATATCCAATTCACTACAGTGGTGTCATCAGCAAACGAATAGATGGTATGTGTTCAGAATTTGGCAACACAGTTGTAGGTGTAAAGTGAGTACAGTAGGGGGCTGAGGACGCATCCTTGGGGGGGGGGCTCTAGTGTTGAGTGTTACTGTGGAGGATGTGCAGTTTACCTATCCTCATTGATTGTGGGCTGTGGATCAGAAAGCTGAAGATCCAGTTGCAGAGGGCAGAGCTGAGACCAAAGTCACGCAGTTTTGCAATCAGTCTGGAGGGGATAATGGTGTTGAGAGTGGAGCTATAGTCAATGAGCAGGAGTCTGGTGTAGGTGTCTTTGACATCCAGATTTTCCAGGGATATGGAATCCTGTGCGGATCTGTTCAGTCAGTAAGCAAATTGTAGGGGATCGAGGCAGACTGGGAAACTGGAGTTGATGTGGGCCATAACCGACCTCTCGAAGTACTTCATGATCACCGAGGTCAGAACCACTGGGCAGTAGTCATGAAGATACACTGCATGTGTTTTCTTGGGTACGGGGATGATGGTGGTCTTCTCGAAGCAGGTGGGGACTTTGGCTTGTAGAAGGGAGAGGTTGAAGATGTTGGTGAATACCTCCACCAGTTGATCCACACAGGATCCAAGTGTTTGGCCAGGGACACTGTCCGGGCCCGTCGCTTTTCTTAGGCTGACTTCCAGGAAGACCACCTGATGTCTGAAGCAGTGTCAGAGGGAACAGGTGGGTCTGGGTTTGTCGGGCAGGCATGACCACGCCGCTGGCATTCTGCTCAAACTGAGCATAGAAAACATTGAGTGTGTGTGTCAGGGAGGGATGTGTCTTTGTCCACTATCTTGTGTTGCTTCATTTTGTATCCCGTAATGTCATTTAGGCCTCGCCATAGGTGGTGGGAGTCCGTTTGGTGGTTTTGCCTCTGAATTGGTCCAGTGCTGCTTCTTGGCATCCCTAATGGCTTTGCAGAGGTAATATCTGGATTTCCTGTATTGGTCCGAGTCACCCGACTTGAAAGCTACACGTCTGGTCTTCAGTAGGGAGTGGACTTCCTGGTTCAACCAAGGTTTACGGTTGGGGAACACTCGGATTGACTTCCTTGGTATGCAGCCCTCCACACATTTTCTAATGAAGTCCATGACTGTGGTGGCATTCCCATCTCGGTTTTCTGCTGAACACTCAAACGCGGTCCAGTCCACCAATTCCAAGCAGTCCTGGAGACAGTCTTCTGCTGCCTCAGACCAGCACTGTATTCTTTTTGTATTTTAGGATAGATAGATAAGACAAAGAATAAACAAATGTGCTAAAGCGAACATGGAATTTCAATCCAATTCTTAGCTGGGTGTACAGTATTGTGATAACTTATGCATCACAATATACATACTTTCCACTTCATTCAAAACTGTGATCTCCTGGAAGTGAAGAACCAGATAAAACTACAGACGATATACACATTTGGCATATTTTTCAATCAAGGCATAGTCAAAAATCACAGAGCAAAATACTCCTTCCAAAATAATCTATATTTAATCTATTGACATGGTTTTGTCTAATTGAGCACATAAAATACAGCAAGAGTTTGCCCTTTTCCAATCCATTCCCTGCTTGAGCAGTGTGACCTGGGCCAATCCAGGGTAGCTTTGACCATTTTTATTTTTGCATTGTATGCAGTCAAACTGTACAAAAGTCCTCAATTTTAGTAGGAATCCATCATTACAATTCAGTAGCTAACCTATTTGACAGCACTACCCTGAGACTGGAGATGTGACCTGAGAATGAGATTCAGTCATTGACTTAAGAGGTTAACTGCATATTGCTGTATGTTACCTGTCACCCTGTCCACATTACTGCTGCAAGATATCCAAATTCTTCTCTCTGAAAATTTAAACATACAGCATTTGCACTTGGTACCGACTGCAAAAGAATTCATCAGCTCATCAACGAAATGGCTTAATTAAAATACATGATGCAACTCATAAACTGACCACAGTAAACACTGGATCTGGAAGAAATAGTGGAGCAATATCGCTACATATTTCACTGCCAGATTATTCTCCTTCCTCATAAAACAATGCAAAACACTGAAGTGTATTATAGAATTTTTTCTCTCCTTGACACCTTACCCCATCATCTTTCACACATTCCAGGTGGTTTTAATCATTTGTAACTGCCAGCTCAACAGGACTCTACAAGCACTGCAGTCCAGCCAGGGAATATGACTTAATCAGCAGTTGTTAATGGCTGCACGTTGCTCAGAGCTGAATAAAAACCAAAAGAACTGCAGAATCAGAAACAAAAAAGAAATTGCTGGAAAAGTTCAGCAGGTCTGGCAGCATCTGTGGAGAGAAATCAGAATTAATGTTTTGGGTCAAGTGACCCTTTCTCAGTTCTGAGGAAGGGCCACTCGTCCCAAAATGTTAACTCTGATTTGTCTCCCCAGATGCTGCCAGACCTACTGAGCTTTTCCAGCAATTTCTGTTTTTGTTGCTCAAGGGTGAAATTTGGAGAGGCCAGCAAACTTTCAATTAATACTGTAAATTTACAAGTAGCTTCTCCTTCCACCCCACAAGAAATGATTCCTTTACAAAATTTTCTGCCTTTTTTTTGAAAACCTACACTCCAATATAAAAGATGATTTTCAAAATGGGAAGAAGGTTGAACAAAGGTAGTGAAATGACTTCATTTTCTTATTGAGGATGAACTGCTTAGTAAAAGGTTGTTCCAGACCATAACTTCATGAGCCACATAATACTGATTAAATTTTTAATGATATAACAAAGTTAAACTGTGTAAAACAGATCCATGCCACTTAAGCATAAAGTGAAATTTATATTACATCTGTACGGCTAGGTTGAGACTTTTAACTAACTAATTAAATATAAATTAAATTCATGGATGATTATAATCAAGTTATTTAACCTCTTGTGGCACAGTGATAGTGTCAATACCCCTGGACTGGGAGGCCTGGGTTCGAGTCCCATCTGCTCCAGATGTGTGTAATAAAATCACTGAGCAGGTTGATTAGAAAAATAGGTTACATCAAAAAAGTATCTCAAATATTCATTTTAAGTGCCTGCTTTTGCTCAATGGTTAGCTCTCATTCTTGACGCAGCAGATTGTGAATTTGAAACCCTTATAGACTTGGACAGTGAAACGTTGAGGGAATGCTGCACTATTGGAGGTAGTTCAACTTGTTCAGCATCAGGCATGAAACTCAGGTCCGAACTGCCTGCTCAGGTATTGGTGATATATCCACTGACACGACTGAAAGAGAAAGGAGCTCTCCTAATTCCTACTCAACATTGCTTCCTCCAACTCCACCAGTCACTCATTCAGTTAGTTCGTTGGACTGCTCTGAAAGAAAATTGGCAGTTGTTTAGTACTTTTCTTTTAAAGCACTTTAGCAGGTCCTTGTATAAAGGTAAAACTTTATTTTCCTTCTAATTAGGCTTTCAAAACAATGAGAAGGATCTTTAAGGCCATCTTTATTCATCCAGCCAGAAAGGTTCCCAACTCTCAGAACCTGGCAGCTGCTTAAATGATTTATGCACCCTTTACCTTACACCCACAAACCATTTTTAGTGTGAAGAACTTCTTGATGCTCATTCTAATGTTACCTAGTGCCAGGCTGAACTTGTCCTACTGTCACTGTTTAATTTGAAGGAGTGTTGTCGATACATCTTTTACTATCTTGTTTAATGACTCACTCAAACTCACAACATGTCCAGGAGACAGTTGCTTAGCCCAACAAGGAAGAGACCAAAGCAATAATTAATTGGGGCAATTTTTCTCTAAGCTGTATTCTTGCACAGCCTCACAGTAAACAGTGTAAACTGTAACAATGGCAATGCTAAAACATTTATCATACATTAGAGTAAACAGGTCATGGAAAAACAAAAAAGAAATGCAGGGATTGTTAGCTGGGGCATTAAAAAAGAAACCATGAATATTGATACCACTGTGTCAACCAATGAGTCGGTGTGGGTCAGGATTTGTGATTAGAATTCACAAATTTCTTAACTCATGTTTGAAACTACAGCAAATAAGCGTCCTGAGACAGCAGGACTGTTTCTCTTGCTAAGTGGAGGATAATGAAATAATTAACCATGTGCATAAAATCAATCCTAGTCATTTTAGCAGTGCAGCCTCCAGCTATGACTTACAGGGATATTACATTAACATCTCATTTTGGCCAGAGGTTGTGTTGTCACTATATGCAGCCAACAAGAATATCATTTTAGTGGGTCAAGATGCTGGTTCTACATTAAAAAGGCATGATTAAAATTTCATAAATTAATTTCTCCACTTAAAATTAAAATTCCTTCAGTGGTCTGATTGTGCCTGTTGCATCACAGCCACAGAAATCAGGAAAAGTTGGAGTTTGATCTGTTTAATGAATTGATCTCAGTCAGGGTAGCAATACAAGCCAAACAATTGGTCACAGCTCCCCCAGGGATACAACTGCAAGAGAACCAGCTATGATTCCTACTCATGACTACTACATGGCAACCCCATTAGCAAAATGTCTGTGTGCATAAATGTCAAACAAGAACAGGATCAAGCACTCTGCAGTATTTTCCACGGTCAAACACGGTGGTGAGAGGCATTGTCTAGGCATATTCATGAGGAATGGTCAACTGCTAAGATGCTGCAGATACATGGCACTGTAAGGCAGCAATTTTGAGTTCCCTAGAAAGATTTTAAAAATAATAATAGTGAGAGAATTGATATTGCAAACCTACTCCACAATCATGTCTTGGATATTCATGCAATACTGCTAGGAGGTGCTTCAAGCTTATGCGATTACTAACACACTACTATTACCATAGAAGTTCCCACATTTGCAATACAATAAATGAAGTGGTTTCACTTCCTTTCATCCTCTGCTCCCCAAGCTCAGTCTGGCTGACATTGCTTGTGCAACGCCTGAAAAGATAGCAGAAGCAGATATTTTAGTAACTTTCAAAGGGGAAACGGGCAAATATTTGAAAAAAATTCTGGGCTACAGAGAAAACCAAGAGTGTAGAACTAACTGAAACGATCTTTTGAAGAGTTAGCATAGGAGATTCCATGACACTTCAATCACAAAGATAAAGTCATTCCACCAAATGAGATATGCAACAACTAGCCATGAACAATTTCAATTAGAATACACGTTAGGACAAACACTGCTCAAAATTTCTACCTCCATCTAAATTAGCAGATTTTAAAACCATGGAGGCAAAACTCTTGCACTGAGCATTGCTTACTTTGAAATGTAAAAATGGACAACATATAAATGTAATATTTATAAAGCGTGACAAGCCTTTCAGAACAGTACATCATTTGCATCTTAAATCAAGAAAAATTCAAATACTGAAACCTCCTGGTCAATGGTCACTCCTGCAAAAAGCAGATGCTGCGCTCAGCTGACACTTCAGTCCAAAACAAGTTTTAGATTTAAAGCTTTGAAGACCCTGTTTTTAGAGATTTAAGTTGGCTGTTTCAAATCATAAATGGTTGCACCTGTCTTGATCATTGTGTGCTTTTGGTATCTCCAATCCATTAGGGTCTAGGTTCAAGACAAACACCAAAGACATTTATGAAAAGTCCAGGCTGATACACCCAGTGTAGTACTGTAAGTGTCCTACACTGTCAGAGTGCTACCTTTTGGATGAGACATTAAATTGCTATCTTAGATGGAAGTGAAAGATTTCATGCTGTTACCTCCAAGAAGGACAGGCGAGTGTTCTATGGTATCATGACTAACATTTATCCCTCAACACTGCAAAAACATGCCATCTAGTCATTATCTCATTGCTGTTTATTGGAGCTTTCAATGTGTAAATTGGTTGTTATGTTTTCCTAGTTTACCACAGTGATGATGTTTCAACAGTAGTTCACTGGTTATATAATGACAGACCTGTACTCACCAGTACTGCAGCCCTAGTGTTGCAGTGATAGATTTGCACTCCAATACTGTGTTATAGTGACAGCACAACATCCACCACTACTATACCCTTAGTGCGATACTGACAAAATCCTATACCCACCAATATAGCTTCAGTTGCTCTTTTCAAACATGATTCAAGGTCTGAAGTACATTTGTAATTGTGCAGCCAACTGTTCAGTTTCAAATGGGTACAGTGTTATCTGCAGACCACACTACCTTTAAGTAGATCTCTTCAAAGGAAACTGCTAACGAAAGAGATAACATTTCACCTGATTGTCTTGAGTGACCAAAAGCAAGATAATTGTTCGTTTCCACAAATACTGTGTCTATACAATAAGTGTTTGTTTAAAACAAGGATATGGTTGCTGTACATATATAATATATATTATTGCTTCTGACACAAAAGCTTTGCTGATCCATATTGACATTTTTCTCAAATTCAATTATATAGTCACAAGAAAAAAAATACAATTACATTCCACAGGGGACATCTCAGTGCCAGTGCAATGTCACGTCCTTCCTCATCAAGTCCTCCCAATCACTTTGGAGGCATCTCGTATTTAAAAACAACACTGAAGATTCTCCCACCAAGTCGCTCTGCCAACCAGGCATTCTTGATGACGGCAAGTTTGAGGCTTTCACAACGTAATGCAGCGTAATAGTTTGTGTGAATAGCTCGACCCATGCCTTCGATGATCACCAGGTCAGTCTTCCTCTCCCAGACCACTGTTGCCAACCCTTTGTCCAGTCGACTGAGAGAAAGAAATATGGAAGATCAGTATTAGTCTTTATAATAATTCTAACCTTTGGGTGAGAACTGACAATAGTTCGGGGTGTAAGCTGGATAAAGGCATGTCCTCCATTACCCAGAATTCATATCAACATGCAGCAAAAGTGGAGGGTAACTCCATCAGACCCATCTATGCTCATGTTATCAATGAAACAATGTGACTTCACACCCTAGCAAAACTCAATCTCATTGTGGCATCACAAGCACTTTGAGCTCCCTTCATTACACCATCTCACATAATAATTCAAACAACTGAGTAAACGAAATAAGGCCTTCAGGATTTCCCTTTAAAACAGTATTTTATACCAATTAAAATTTACATCTAACAGTGCTACACATCTGATCACCTCAGTCAGATGTCCACTTAAATCAACAAGATTTCCACAGAGAATTTAAGCCTGCCCATCTTTCTCATCTTTCACAGCCTGTGCCCTTTTATACTTTGTTTTGGGTGGGGCGAGGAGCCACGTTGCTTTTATTTGCATCTCCAGAGTGTGCTTGTATTTTTTTTGCATTGTGCTAACTGGACACGAATACAATATTTGGCATAATTTTGTCAGCTGTTCACTATCAGTGCAACTTCGCTGGTCAGGCTCTTACTAAAATGAGAAGGTTATAGTTCAAACTCCACTCCTGGGCTTCGATACATCACCACAGAACTGAAAGTTAAACAAAAGCTCTGTCTGTTTAGTTGGAGATTAAAGATCCCATTGCAAGAATGGAAAGGCACAGGGAACGCTCCCCATACCTAGATGAGCAAAGAATGTTCAATTACCAACACAAAAACAAAATTTTTCTGAAGAAGGGTACTGACCCGAAACGTCAGCTTTCCTGTCCTTTGATGCTGCCTGGCCTACTGTGTTCCTCCAGCTCCACACTGTGTTATATCTGACTCCATCATCAGCAGTTCGTACTATCTCAGAATTATTAGGCAATTTTCTCAACTGCTGATTGTGAACCTTCGCTGCACAGAAGTTGGCATTTGCAGGGTTAATCAACATAATAATATTAGGTGCAGCACTATGCAACATCCTAAGAATATGTCGCAATACTACATAAATGTGTTCTTACTGCATTTCCTGAGTACCACATATGTATACACTTCAATCCTACTGTTCAGAATACAAATTTCACCATCTTCTTAGCTTGCAGAACAATGATGCGGAAACAAATTGCTCTCAAAACCAATGCATTTTATTATAATCAACTACATCACTAACATTGGAGACAGATCCATACCCTGCAGCATTGCACTCCAATGCTATGTTTTTTAATCAAATTCTAGAGCAAAAAGTAAAATATTAGTTCAAACTTTTCAGTTCAACTGGCCTTATATGAAAATGATAAATGCAAATTTCTAAAATATTATTTTAAAAATTCACTGAAGTCACAGGTCAGATGTGGTATATACTCATGACTGACTCCATTAAGTTGACACACAATTACTGAGTGCGTGCAAGATCCTTTTCCCTTGGGAAAAGGCTTTAGAACTATTAAGGAGAGAACACAAACAAAAATAGTTCCCTCTTGTACCCCTCCCAGCAGTTATTGGCAGAAGTGACAAAAATTTACACAGTGCAAATGAGCATAAGCATAGCAGTAGAATGTTTTAAGAAGGGTAACAACTCCCCAATGATTCAGTTGCTACAGGCAACTTAGTCTCACAGACCAGAACGTCCCTGAAGTCTTGCCAGACATCTGACATCAACGGGTTCAGTAGATTCAATCCTTCAACTGGGATGGCAGTACTGGGTTATTATGAAGGAAAAATAAATAAGCCTGTGCTCAGTTCCTATTTATGCATTCAATTCTGTGCACGGGGGACACGCCATGAGAGAAAAATAGAGAAAGAGGACAAGCAACTGAGAAAGTGGGAGAAGGAAAGCAAAAGTTTGAATGTAAAAGAGAAAACAAGGCCCACATTGGCACAGTAATGGTGAGAAGATGGTACTAGGAACTGCACCAGAGTGAGAATCAAGTTCACTGAACAAGGTTCATCGGCCTGTCCCTTTATATCAATTACACTTAAATATCTACAAAGCAGCTCACAGTGGTAAAAACAAAAGTTTATTCTTGGGGTGGGGGCGTTGGTGACTGAACCATTATTGGGTAGTATGATTAAGGGCCCTTTTCAAAGAGACGCTGGGAATGACAAACAATAATCAATTAAACAAGGTCTATTTAAAAAAGATAATGAAGTAAATTACCTCAGATCTAGACAAGGTGAACTTGAGCCACTCTGAACTAATAACAGTTTATCATCCTGTAAAGCTTTCCTGCAAGAAGGAATAGGAACAGAGTAAAGCACAGTTACCAGCTCAAACATTACAACAGCTACACAGCAATTTGTTAAAGGGCCAAGGATAGTCCCTAACAGCAATAAATTCTCGATAGTCACTGCAGGGGTCCCCTTGCTTAACTTGAGCAAAAATCTGAAGAAATAGTATAAAAAGCCATTTTTATCCATGGTGCTAATGTTTTATCTTACACTTATGAAATATGGCAGAGATTCCAGCCTTAGTGTTTAAATTTCAACACTACAATTGAACAAAAAAAAATTGCTTTCAATTCTGCTCCTGTCCTACTATTGAGGTACAATTCTAGATCTATGTAGAACCTGGCTATACCCAGCTGTAAGCCTGGATGGCATTTGCCTCAAGAGGCAATTCAATGGTAGAGGTGGCACCAAATCCATATCTGGTCTTGTCCTCACTTTCCAAGCAAAGGTCAATCAACCAAATAACTGGAATCTCTGCATTTTACAGTGCAACCAACAGACTGTGTTTACCAGCTGCTCTCCGTTCCAGGATACACAGAATCATATGCCACAGAAAAAGGCCATTTGGCCCATCATACCTGTATCACCTCTTGAGAGAGATATCTTAATTAGTCCCATTTTCATTTAATAACACTGCAAATTCCTCCAAACGTTACAATGAAAATTGAAAAGGTAAAGTCTTTTTTTTAAAAATTAGTACACCTCCAGCCAATAGTAATATTCGGAATTGTATTCAAAGTAAAGGCAGGACTATGAATGCAATCCTGTCACACTGCGCACCTGATGACTGAATCCATCGCTGCAATCCTCTCTGTAACTATTGCCAACTCACTGCAGGTAACATCATTTAATGCTGGTCCTGAGTTACTGGCTAAAATGACCTGCATTTGAAGACAATTGCATCAGGCAAGCTTGGAGTGAAATCACAGACAAATCCACTGAAATAGAGTTTAGACATTTCTTGTAAAAGCCATGTAAGCAAAGCAAGACTCAGAAGCTTCCTCCATCACATTACACACTTATAGTGATGATCCAGCATCTGTAGAAGAGTGCTACTCTAAATATACAGCTGCTGACTAGCAACTGCCCTTAAAGGTTTTTGACTCTACTTAGCACATGGAATGGAGAAGGGATCAATAAGTCTGTAAAGGGGATTAGAGACAGTCTTGAAGGTAATAAGCAGCAAAACAACACAGTCACAACAAAGTAAAATCGCAACAGGCAAGCATGGAATAAGGTCTTTGGCACAGACACCTCCAGCTTAAAAGATGGTTAATATGTCACAAAAGGTAGGAGCAAATTACTGCAGATGCTAGAAATCACAGCGGGTCAGGCAGCATCCATGGAGAGACAGCAACCTAACGTTTCAAGTCTAGGTGACTCTTCATCAGAGCTGACGTGCAGTGTGGAGGGGGCAGCATTTATGAAATAGTGGGTGGAGGAGTGCTGGGCTGGGGGAGAAAGGGTGCTGATAGTGCAGATTAAATGATCAGAATGTGAGAATAGTAGAACAATGGTGTGTCTAATTGCCAAACTGGAAAGAACAGATGGTCCCACTGGAGAGGGGGGAGGGGAACAAGAACATGGTGACAGGGAATGCAACAAGTGAAGCTAAAAATATCACAAAAGGAATATGTATTTTGAATGTGATTCATTCCTATCAAAATGTTGCTTTATCATTACAGCTGGTATAGAGCATGATGAAAGTCTGTTACACACTAAGAAAAATAGCATTTACAGACAAAGATGGATTTAGGGTGGAGGCGGCACAACCAGAGAATTTTAAATGCTATTTATTTTGCAAACCTCTTTTCATTAACACACTTACTTTTGTGACATACATTACTGACAGCCACATCATGAAGCTCTAATTCAGCAAACAACATTACACAAACATAGAGATACAGCCTAACAATCTTGATTCAATGCACGTATGTGTACATGCACACTAACACACATACAGAGCCAGACACAATCTGCGTTAAGATTTTAGGTACTAAATGGAGGGTGGGGCAGTTCATTCCTTGGACCAAGCACCTGTGTGAGAAAGCTAGTGGTGGGACAACACCACTTTAAACCAATGACAAAGTTGGTGACACAGGGGAACTGGTAAAAGAACTGGAAAATGACCACTTCCAACCACCCTAAATCCAATTGATGGGAGAATGAGGACCAATTTGGCTAACAGGAAGTAAACCACTTGCACCCTGTTTTTCCCATTTTCTGAGTGTATAACACAAGTTCCCTAATGATGCTGTCAAATATTTGCTGCTCTCTAGAAATTTTCCCTGCATGACTTTTTGTCATAAACAAATCTACAGAATTAGTGTTAGATACTCAGTTCTGGTAGACATTGAGAGCCAAGCCTCATCCTGTCCTTATCCAGCACACTGTAAAGCTATTGTCACCAGCTAATGATTAGGGGAAACTAATCTGCCCCCTAATTATCCCAGTGCTTTGGCGATCAATAGCTGTAGCCTCCCACTGCCACCCTGAATTCATTCAGCTGACTCTATACAGTTGAGGAATTGAACACTCATGGCTCAGAGACCAACTGAGAACAAATTTACCACTAAAGCCATTAGGGCAGCCCAAGTAAGGGAATAAGAGTGCAAATGTGTTAAAACCAACGAATAAAAAGTGGGTTTACCCCACCTCTAGCATCCCCCCACTGTTGCTTGGTCGAAGGAGTGACTGTCCCACCCTCCATTAAATATCTCAAACTTTAACACACAGTCTGGCTGTGTATATAAAAACCGAAAGAACTGCGGATGCTGTAAATCAGGAACAAAAACAAAGTTGCTGGAGAAGCTCAGCAGGTCTGGCAGCATCTGTGAAGAAATAAAATAGAGTTAACGTTTTGGGTCTGGACCCGAAACATTAACTCTGTTTTTTCCTTCACCGATGCTGCCAGACCTGCTGAGCGTCTCCAGCAACTTTGTTTTTGTTCCTGGCTCTGTATATGTTAGTCTGTACGTACACATGCATGCATCTAACTGAGATTGATAGGCCATTTGTCACTATTTCTCAACTATAAGCAGCAATGTGTAATATGTTACCTCTGTGCCTTTTGACAGCAGCTCCCTGACAAACGGGAAGACTCCAAGAATTATGTCTATTCCACTATTATCTACGAAAAATAAGGCACATTTGTGAGGAGGACCCTGCAAGAGAAAGCCAGTAAAGTTTGGTATTTGATCAGTGTTGTTTCTTTTAAAAATCTCTAATCATGTATTATATAGACATTCAGATATTCATTGGTTAACAAGAAAGTTTATTTCCAGTACCAATGAAATTAAAATTCAGTAAATCGGCAGTACTAACGGAAATTAATAGCATCATTGATAGCCAATGCCAGATTAGTCAAATTAGAGAGACCATATGACGATATTAACTCTCCTCCACCGCGCACATCTTGCTTTTGGGATTTATGATGTTGCATTAATTCAAGTATCTTAATTGACCTACAATTCATTCTGCATGTACAAAGTTTTAACAATAAACCATCTAGATAATTAATTAGGTTCGAATTTGTAATGCACTTTTAGGAAGTTGGGGTAACTACGTAAAAATTAAATGTTTAAAAATTTCTGCAATGAGATAAGAATTCCTGCTGCTTCCTCTTGGATCCATAGCTCACAAGGGCACAAATATACAATGCCAAATCAAGACACAAAAAGCAACATAACTGCAGTTATAGAGCCATAGAGTCATACAGCACAGAAACAGACCTTTTGGTCCAACCAGTCCATGCCGAACGTAATCCCAAACTAAAGTAGTCCCCCAGCTGCCTGCTTAGGGCCCATATCTCTTCAAACCTTTCCTATTCATGTACTTATCCAAATGTCTTTTAAATATTGTAACTGTACCCACATCCACCACTTCCTCAGGAAGTTCATTCCACATACGAACCACCATCTGTGAAAAAAAATCGTCCATTTTTTAAAAATCTCTACTTTCACCTTAAAAATGTGCCCCATAGTCTTGAAATTCTCCACTCCAGTGAAAAAGGTCCCAGCCTGTCCAGCCTTTCTTTATCATTCAAACCTTCCATATACCCAGCGACATCCTGGTAAATCTCTTCTGAACTCTCTCCAGCTCAATAATATCCTTCCTATAACTGGGCGACCAGAACTGGACACAGTATTACAGAAGAGGCCTCACCAATGTCCTATAGAACCTCAGCATGACTTCCCAAAGGACTGAGCAATGAAGGCAAGCGTGCCAAAATCCTTTTTAAACAACAAACAAAAACATATATTGCTACAAAAGCTCAGCAGGTCTGGCAGCATCTGTGAAGAAAAATCAGAGTTAACGTTTTGGGTCTGGTGGCCATTCCTCTGACTAGACCCAAAACATTAACTCTGATTTTTCTTCACAGATGCTGCCAGACCTTCTGAGCCTTTCCAGCAACTTCTGTTTTTGTTTCTGATTACAGCATCCACAGTTCTTTTGGTTTTTGTGGCCTTTTTAACTACCCTGTCTGTAATGCAAACTTCAAAGAATTATGCACCTGTACCCCTAGGTCCCTCCGTTCTACAACACTAGCCAAGGCCCTACCATTAATTGTATAATCCCTACCCTTGTTTGGTGTACTAAAATGGAATACCTCACATTTATGCAGATTGAACTCCATCTGCCATTTTTCAGCCCACTGACCCATTTGATCAAGATCCCTTTGTAATCTTAAAAAAAAACTTTCACCGTCTATTATGCCAATTTTGGTGTCGTCCGCAAACTTACTAATCATGCCTTCTGTATTCTCAACAAAATCATTTATATAAGTGACAAACAGAAAATACTTGAATTACTCGCGAGTTAGGTAGCATCAGTAGAAAGGAAAACAAAGTTAGCATTCCAGGTCAATGACCTTGCATCTAAATAGTTTTGATTAAAGATCACAGATAAGAAATGTTAACCTTTCTTCCTGCACAGAGTTGCCTGAACTGCTGAGTATATCCAATATTTTCAGTTAAAAGAAAATAATTTGGAAGAGATAATTGCTTTCAGCCACCATGTTTTACTGGTGTCAAAATCAAGCTGTCTGCACATTTTAATACATTGAAGGACTTCAATTGGCCACTTAATTGACCCAGTACTCAACAGTTTAAATACAACATTAAATTATTCTTCAGTTCCCATTTGAAAGGATACTCAGTAATGGTGAACGGTTGTTTTCCAGACTGGGGCAAGTATACAATGGGATGCCCTTTGGGTTGGTGATAGGACTACAGCACTACCTAATGTATATCAATGACCCAGACATTGATGTACCAGACACAATTTTAAAATATGCCAATGAAGCACTGTGAAATGGGGAACTTGATAAGTTAAAAATTTAGGGGGTCAAAGAGAGGTTGGTTGAGTGGACTGTCATAACAACGATGAAATTTCATAATAACAAGTGCAAAGTTTGGTAGGATGACAACAGGAGGGCAAACTGAAACACAGGATACAATTCTGAAAGAGGCACAAGAACAAACTGACCTGTAGATATTAGCGCACAAATCATTGAAGGTAGGAGGGCAGATTGAAAAAGTGATTAATCAAGATGCATAAGGATCTTTGGCGTGTAAACAGAGGCATACAATGCAAAAGCCATGCTATTTTTAAAATTTTTATAAACTCCCTGACAGCATAGCAGAGGCAGCTTCAACTGTGGCTTTAAAAAGGAAATTGCTTAAACACGTGAAGAGAATAGGAAATTCAGGTGTACAGGTGAAGGATTTGACGTTGGAAGAAGCTAACTTATTCTGGCAGCATGTTGGCACAAAGTGGGCCAATGGCCTCCTTCTGTGCTGTAACCATTCTATAATTCAATGGCAAATGGGTTGTTTCACAATTAAAATTTGGATTTCAACTGATTGTATAAAAACTGCGACAGATTCAATTATCAGCAACACAAAACATAAAGAACAAAATAAATTTGATACAAATCAGATGAACTACAGCAATTACTTTAGGGTCAGATTGTGCAGAGGAGAAAATAATTTCAATTAATTGACTGCCAAATAAATTAGCAATCTGAATGGACATAAAAAGGTGACAAAAACTGTTAAAGATAAGAATGTCTTTTCCCAAATGCTAGAAAAAATGGGAATAAGATATTTGAACTGGAATCATATGTTGAGGCAACATAATAAGATTCCTTCGGGAGTGTGAAGTTATGGCTCACCTCATAAAAGAGAATACACAAAAAATCAATTATTCAGAAAAGAGGAAGATAAAAAGAGTGAAGGTGTAGCTTTATAGGTACAGATGATTTAGGTGTCAAGACAGTGTATTTTGGTTGGCATGCTATGGCCTGCATTCTCTATAGAGGCTGGAAAGCAGGTCAAGATTGATTGCAAGTGTAAAACAGATGAGCTAAGTGGAAAAGACAGAACAGCTAGAGTTTTATACTTGAGGGACCAAAAGGCTAAAATGGAAAATTGCATTGAGGTATCCAATATATTAAATGGCATTGACAATACAAATCCAGAAGGTTATTCACAGCTAGTCTAGCTGATAATAATTAGAGGATGCAAATTTGAAAATGGCTTTGTCTATTCATAGTGCAATTAATGCCTGAAGCAATCTAACTAGTAAAGCAGTGCAATTGAAAGAAACAGCAGTGTTCAAGTTCAACAGTTGTATGCTAAACTGGACGAACTGATAAACCAGAAGGACAAGATTAGAAGCCAAAGGGTCTTTATAAAATCATTTTCCTTATTTGATGCATTTAAGGGGAAGTTTTATAAATATATATGTAAGGTGTAGATGGTTATATCGAAATGATTAAATGAATTATAACATTTAAAAGGCATCTGGACCGGTATATGAATAGGAACAGTTTAGAGGGATATGGGCCAAATGCTGGCAAATGAGATTAGATTTATTTAGGATATGTGGTTGGCATGGACGAGTTAGACCGAAGGGTCTGTTTCCGTGCTGTAAATTTTGTGATTATGTTTTAGGCATTAAATCTCATGTCAGGTGTATTAGTGGTCAATGGAATGTTTTTGGCATCATGAGAAATGGATAAAAATATAACCCAGGACATTGAAATCTTTAACAACACAACAAGTCTTTTTTTTGAAAGCAAAATGCTTTTGTGCAGACCTGGAACTAATCTGTAGAAAATTACATTGGGGCAATGTAAATTCCTGTCCTAACTCCCTTGATGTGAATCATTCACCAAGCAGAAAAGTACATCAAGGCATCTTCCATAAACATTCCTGCAATTTATTTTGAAGAAACTTTTTCACATTCTTATATGCCAATTTCAATTCATGTAGCAGAAAGATTTGTAACATCTACACACAGGCAACATTTTCCACTTCTGTATACTACAAAGCACAATTAAAGGCTAAACTCAGCTGAAATAAATATGATCCATTTACAAAGCATTCACCAATGGTGCCAAGTGTTAGTGGTTTTGTTTGAATATGGGCATAAATGTAGGGTCTGCATGGAAATGTACCACAGCATGCTTGATTAAAAATGTTATGGGCACAAGTTTTTTACATAATGTTAAAGCTTTGCATTTATGATGGGACAGAAGTTTAAAAAAGATGTATAAATGGAACAGAATACTTGGATACATAGGGGAGGCAGCCTGTGTTTGCAAATTTAAGAAAGAACTGGATAGATATTTAACACAGTTATATGATAGAGATGCACAAGAGTTAGAAAGCTATGTTATTTCACAGATTTGCAACTAGCCAGATCAACTGTAAAGAATTATTTAGATTCTGCATACTAATGTAAATCCCTTTTACATTACAAATTTCCAGGTATCACAACTACATCCAAGATTTAACATTTAACCCATGTCTTCCATACGCAGAAGGATTACATAGTCCAGTCCAGTATCTTGACTATGGAACTCAAATAATTGAACTATTTCTAAAATTCCTACCTTAAGACGCTCTAACCAGTCATTATATGCATCCACCAGCCAAGGGCGTGCTGAGAAACACAAAAATATACATCTCTTAGTTACTTAAATTAAATTCTTCTCAAATGGACTCCAATTGTTTATTAAAGGGAAGCTTCAGCATCAGATCAAGCATTGAGGCAATAGCGACACTCTCCAACATCAGTCTCAAGGACAAAAAGAGGTAATCCTCAGGCAGGGCTCAGGAGCTCCACCTGAAAGATTAACCTGACTTAACTTGGCATAGATTCACATCGTACTACTCGTCTGTACATTTTTCTGAAGGTGGGTGAGTGGGGTATTAAGGTGATTTAACTTTTTAGTGCAGAGGTTAATTGACTTAGCTTAGTAGAGGACCCTTCTTTTCCTTCTCTGTCCACTCCCCTCTGTGCCAATTTTTTAAAATTCACTTACATGGACATTGCTGGCTGGACCAGCATTTATCACCCGTCCCTAGTTGCCCTTGAAAAGGTGGTGGTGAGCTGCTGCAGTCCATTTGTTGTAAGTAGACTCACCATGCCATTTGGGATTTTTACCCAGCAAAAGAATACATTCCCAAGTCAGGATGGTGAGTGGCATGAGATGTAGGTGGTGGTGTACCCACAAATCTGCTGCCCTTTTCCTTCTAGATGGAAGTGATCATGGATTTGGAAGGTGTAAGGACCTTTGGTGAATTCATGCAGGTGCGTCTTGTAGATAATAAATATTGCTACAACTGAACGTTATTGATGAGGTGACTGAATTTTTATGGATACAGTGCTAATCAAGCAGGCTGCTTTGTATTGAATGATGTCAGGCTTCTCGAGTGTTCTTGGAGCTGCACATCCAGGCAAATGGGGAGTATTCCATCACACTCCTGACTTGTGCATTGTAGATGGTGGACAGGCTTTGGGGAACTAAGAGAAGAGCTACTCACTGCAGTTTTCCTAGCCTTTGACCTGCTCTTGTAAGCACTTATTTATAGAGCGAGTCAAGTTCAGTTTCCAGGATGTTGATATTGGGAGCTTCATTGGCGGGAACACCACTTGTCCAGGTCTTGTCACATTTGGACATAGACTGCTTTAGTATCCGAGGAGTTGCAAATGGTGCCGAACATTGCGCAATCATCAGCAAACATCTGCACTTCTGAATTTACGATGCAGGGAAACTCATTGACAAAGCAGCTAAGGTGTTTAGGCCTAGGACACTACCCAGAGGAACTCCTGCAGAGATATCCTGGACTGAAATGAGTAACCGCCAACAAACACAACTATCTTTCAATGGGCCAGGTATGACTCCAATCAGCAGACAGATTTCCCCCAATTCCCACTGACTTCAGTTTTGCTAGTAATCCTTGACATTACACTCGGTCATATGTGGCCATGATCTCAAGGGCTGTCACACTCACCTCACCTATGGAATTCAGCGCTTTTGGCCATGTTTGAACTGAGACTATAATGTGGTCAGGAACTGAGAGGCCTTGGTGGAACCCAAACTGGGCGTCACTGAGCAGGTTATTCCTGAGCAGGTGCTACTTGATAGCACTGTTGATGGCACCTTCCATCACTTTACTGATGATTGGCAGTAGACTGATAGGGCAGTAATTGGCCAGGATAAATCTGATTTTTGTGTACATGACACACCTACACAATTTTCCACATTGTCGGGCAGATGTCAGTATCGTAGCTGTACTGGAACAGCTTGGCTAGGTGTTCAGCAAGCTCCGGAGCACAGGTCTTCAGTGCTATTGCTGGAATATTGTCAGGGCAGTATGCACTGCCTCCAACCCTTCCTAGATATCATGTGCAGTGAATCAAATTGGCTGAAGACTGCCAACTATGATGCTGTGGACCTCTGGAGAAGGCCAAGACGGATCATTCACTCAGCACTTCTGGCCGAAGATTATTGTGAATGCTTCAGACTTATTTTCTGTGTTAATATGCTGCGCTCTCCCACCATTGAGAATGGCGATATTTGTGGAGCCTCCGCCTCCAGTGAGTTGTTTGATGGTCCACCACCATTCACAACTGGACGTGGCAGGATTGCACAGCTTTGACCTGATCTGTTCGTTGTTGGATTGTTTAGCTCAGTCTATCTCTGCTTATGTTCTTTGGTATGCAAGTATTCCTGTTTCATAGCTTCATCAGACTGATACCTCATTTTTAAGCTGCTCTTGACAAGGTTTCCTGTGTTCATTGAACCATGGTCGATTTCCTATCTCGATGGTAATACCGTGGGAGGTACACTAGGCCACAAGGTTGCAGAATATGTTAGAATTTGATAGTCCATATAGAACCCAGCCTTGAGTTGCTAGATCTGTTGAAGTCTGTCGCACTTAGCAGTGATAATGCCACACAACATTATGCAAGATATTATTAATGTGAAACTATGACTTTGTCTCCACAAGGACTGTGCATGTCACTCTCTCCAATACTGTCATAAACAGTTGCATCTACGGCAGGCTGATTGGATGAGGTGAGGCTGAGGTGATGTTTCTCCCTCTTGTTGCTTCCCTCACCATCTGCTGCAGACCCAGTCTGGCAGCAGTGTCCTTTAGGACCAACCAGTTTGATCAGTAGTGATGCTGTCGGACCACTTTTGGTGACGGGCATTGAAACCCCCCCCAAAATATTGAAGAATTACTATTTAACTGAGTATGCAGGTGAGCAAACATTACCCATGGAATTGTACCGCATAGTGAGCAGCCATTTCAGGAGGGTTTAAGGAGACAGGTATGCTAAGGTGAAGATTACTAGATTAATAAGTAATTTAAATAATTTAATTTACATTTCAATTACTCTAATTCCGCTAAAGTGCAACACCCCAGCACACAGGATACCAATCTCATTTGCGGGTTTGAAAAAAATCTTTAATTTCTTACAATGACAAAAAATGCCTCATGGCTCTTTACCTTGTAAGCGCTTTTTTGCTTCTTCAAAGCCAAATGCTGAATTTGTTTCAAGGACACTAAATGTGGGAGGAAAAATAAAACATGATTTACCACATACAGGTACACTGCAACCAGAAAATGTTTTTCAAGTGAATATTCAAATGCTGTTCCTTGAATATGGCAAGGCAGTGCTTTTCTATCATCAGAACTTTTGTTTGTACGTACAAACAGCATCTAATCTGACAGTGAGCCAGCTTCTACTCTTTGTTGGTGCTCAATTTCCCAACAGTTCCCAGGACTGCAACAGAAATCAAATGCCATGGGCCAGGGTTCTTGCTGCTGATTGCTGCCACTTTACCCCTGCTGCGAAAGTCACAGGATAGATGTCAAATTATGTCAGAATCGATGCCTCCTTTCACCCCACTGTCAAAAAGACTGCAAAACATCTGTAGTCTGGCATCAAGACATTAAGAGTGCCTGCAAGCAAATACTGAACAACAACAAAAGTCTAAAACCTCAAAAAAAATTGAAACAAAATAATCAGGAATAAAAGAACAGTCTGTACCATGCCCATAGAAAACTAAATCACTAAAACCTTTTCCTACCCAAGGAGTCAGGTTACCCCAAATGGAACTTAGGTAGTACAGGTGAATCACAAACCAACCAATATTGAGGTAATCATGGACCAGGATTCATTCAAAACCTGGGCACAAGACAGCACCTCCAGAAAGAAATCATCCTCCCCTCTTCAAAATTTTGACAATTAGTTAAAATATTACAGCATGTAACAGTGTTCTCTTTCCAACTTACTCTGAAACAGCTTTGGCTCCCCAGTCAAAGACATTCCCTGCCAGGAGACCTTTCACTAGTGCAAACTGCCGCTCCTCCATGCTGAGTGACTCCAACGCCTGCACAACTTTCTGAAAATGCTTTAATGCTATGTCATTCTCTCTCTGTTTCACCTGCAAAACAGTAAATGAACGTAACTGCAATCAAATACTGAGAAACATCAGAGAGACATAAAAATGTTCAAGATCAGCCAACAGTGGAAAAGATATATTGACCACAAATAGGCTAATTTGATAATCACAAGCAAGTTACAGTCAATACCAGAAGTGGGACATATATCATGGCTGCACCAGATGTTGCTCTGGTGCTCTGTGCCAAGAACCACTAACACAAATGAATTCTCACTTGGAATATTCCAAAACATAACTGTACCCACATCTGTTTACCAGATACAATAACAAGTAACATACATTTCCCTTGACTAAAACAGAACACCCCTGAACAGGAATTAGCACAAGCTTTCTTATATTCTTCAAGCCTTCAAATAATAAAGACAGGAATCAGTTAAATCTGCGATTTGGGCTATAATTTGCCCAACAAGTTGAATAGAAGTATAAATAAAACAAAAGTAAAATACAACAGTAAACTGTATCACGCTTAATTTACAACTCCTAGATCATAACAGCAAAGGTTGTGATATCCAATGAACTTTCCAAAAATAATGAATCCAAACCAGTGTTTATGATGCAGGATTATCAGGGAAGCATGGTTTTCGCCTCCATATTAATAAAATCTGAATACTGCTGCAGGGTTGGGTGTACGGGATATCGTGCCTTTTTTGACCACAGGACATCATAGAGCATTTTATAACTAATTTGCTACTTTTGAATTGCAGCAATTAATGATTTTCGTTGAGGGATAGTACTGTACTGGCCGGAACACCACGAGGACAAAAACAAAGTTGCTGGAAAAGCTCAGCAGGTCTGGCAGCATCTATGGAAAAAAAAATCAGAGTAACGTTTCAGGTCCGATGACTCTTTCTCAGAGATGACTCTTTCTCAGAACTCTTCTGTTGTACTTCCAAGTCTGTCCTAGAAGCATAGATAAGGCATCCATTTAACTCAATTAAAGATGTCACTCTTTCCATTCTGTACTTAAGTGACTGCATTTAAATGTCAGCATAGGATATGTGATCAAGTTCCTGGACTGGAATTTGAACGGAAGGTGGTTGTGATCTTCCATAGGATAAAATAAGCCTGCCAAATCCTTTAAAGCTCAAACTTAGAAAAAATAAATTGGGGCTACCTCCACATTAACTGAATCCAAACAACTACTGTGGATTGGAAAGAAGTATCTCTCGCTCCAGTTAAGATTTAAATTGGGAAAACGAAATCTAAATTAACTGAATAAAAGTGTTAGTCATACTAGGGCCTTAAAGAGACATCATTATTCAGAGTTAGAATGGGGATGATTGGATATTTCCCCATTAATCTCTATTGGATTGATTTTACGCTTATAATTTTTATCTAACTATCTTCCTCTCACAGCCTGTTGCTGCAGAATTAATCTTGCTATCATTGGAAGTCATTGCTGTAGTGTGCAGAGACTCAGTAAATAGACTCTGCAGATTGTTTGATGTAATGTGCTGCTTAAATTGATTGCAGAGTAAATAGACCTAATTTTCTGCAAAACAGAATGCTTCCTACAAATTCTGCCACAAGTCCCATCCCGTTTCCAACTCTTTAGTTGACACAGTGACGTTAATACATACTAAACAGAAAGCATAGGTATCCTGGAACAAGCGGACACTATGTGGATCCAACGCCTTTGATTTCAAAATTGTTCACTTTGAGTAATTTTCAACAGACATTTCTGAAGAAAACATCAAAATGAAATTTCTGAAGAAGGGTCCCAACCCAAAATGTCAACTTTCCTGTTCCTTTGATGCTGCCTGGCCTGCTGTGTTCCTCCAGCTCCGCAAAGTGCTATCTCTGACTCCAGCATCTGCAGTTCTTACTATCTCAAAATGAAAGTTCATTCTGCCAAAGGTGCAAACAAGGCTGCAATTAATGCTTTTGTTTCATGCAGGGTTCTACAACTGCTCAGACTCTAGAGACAATAACACTGATTGAGTGAATGTTCAACTTTCAATCTGACACATTCATTTAAATAAATGTAACAATGTTAAACTCTAATATTGTCAAGGGATATACAGGTAAAGTAAAATCAAGCAATTTAATCAGATCCTATATATTCTGTTTATTCCCCAAGTTAAGCAAGTAGATTAAATAATCAACCATTCAATTGAATTTTGGTCTCATCTCTGCCACACTTTATTATCATTTTGTTAGAACCAAATCCTTTACTTTGTTGGTATTTGCAATTGCTCCATATACATTACAGTTTAATCTGAATTATTAATTTATTTTGTTTGTTTTTATCATCTTCTTGTTACTGCATCTTGCATTGCCAATTCTGTACTCGACTTTAGCTTTGATGCGTCCAGGAATTTGAAAATTATTCCTAAAGATTTTAAGAGACATGACAGTCTTGGATTGATTTTACGCTTATAATTTTTATCCAACGATCTACCTCTCACAGCCTGTTGCTGCAGAATTAATCTTGATATCATCGGGAGTCATTGCTGTAGTGTGCAGAGACTCATTAAATAGACTCTGCAGATTGTTTGATGTAATGTGCTGCTTAAATTGATTGCAGAGTAAATAGACCTAATTTGCTGCAAAACAGAATGCTTCCTACAAGTTCTGCCACAAGTCCCATCCCATCTCCAACTCTTCAGTTGACGCAGTGATACATACTAAACAGAAAGCGTAGGTATCCTGAAACAAGTGGACCCTAGGTTGGGTCTGCTCACAATCTCAGGAGAGGGGGAGAGTCAAGTTGTGTACGTAGAATAAAACCCAAAAGCTTCTTTGGAAGGCTGGGCTGTCAGAGATTGGAAAGGGCATGGAGACAGAAAACCACTGCGTCAGATACTGACATACCATTCTTATAATTTATCAAAAAATGCACACTGTTATATATACAAAAGTGTATTTGTTCTTTTATCTTGGTGGTCTTCTTTTTTAAAAAAAGGCTAACTTTAATGAGACCACTTGATGAGCTGACTGCAAATGTTTCTTGTAATGTCGCAGAATACTTTTCTCAACACTGCCCCCTGGTGGCAGCTCATCAGTATAACACAAATCCTGCTATCTCTGAAATACTCTGAAGTATACTTTCAACATCACAGGCCCCAATTTTCCATATTCAAAGCAACACAAGGATCAAAGACATTTGGCCAAAGCTTTTTTCTTCAAAACCAAATTACTGGTACTTTTTTTTGAGGAAAAGTAAGGAAAGCAGGAGTGCCTACTTTTGAGTAAGGATCTGGAAAGTTGAATTCATTCAGACAGTGCTCCCGTGTGTCCAACAAGCTTCTGACTGTTAGGGATCCGTATGCACTGAGAGAAAAATGGAAGTGAAAAAGCATTTTCAGGATATACCAGGACAGCCAAAGGTGTACAAAAATCTATTTTGTTTAAAGCAATATAATGCTGCCCAAGGTTACTGCACCTTGCTACTATCTCCAATAGACAGTGAAAATGTGAAGAGTGTGCAATAATAGATCAGATTTAGAATTGATGCCTTCCATGTTAAATAGCCTGTTGATATTCATTTCCCAGGCTCCTCCACGAATAACAGCCAATTCTGTCAGACATTGAAGGGTTTCCCCACTTTGGATGCACCAAAAGTAGTTTTCTTTAAATAATGCATTTTTGTTTAAAATATATAATTGCCACTGGAAAATGAAGATTTCCCACTTTAAGTGTTTTTGTTCAAGTATTTCTCTATCTCTTTGGCAGCAATGGGTTATGCTTTTCAATAATAGCAATCCTGATTGGCCACAGACTTCTATGACAACTTAATGATTGTAAATATAGGAACTGCTTGATCAAAAAAAGATCAAGGTCGCTTTAGTCTATCCTCTACCATCTCAACAGTTGCATGATATAAAACTAATGGATTTGCTAAGCAATCATGGCAATTAATCTCTATAATAAGTCTACAACAGCTTCAGACTTGAGACAAGGAATGCCACGTCCCACTGGAAAGGCTTTCGAAGCCACAGTTCCTAAGTTACCTGTTTCACCCATACATACTTTAAATACCACAAACTGTCTCAAATTGTTTACACAGTATATGGCAAAATACTATTTCCCGAAAGAAATCAATCTAATTTGCAACCATCTTCCTCGACAGTTTGCCTCCAAACATTACCAATGATTTACCATTCACTTGGTGAAATAGTGCTTCTGCAGATTAGTTCTGAATTTAATGCCTTTGGAGTGTAGGCTATATCCTCTGGTGCTATTGCTCTGGATTTGGTGAAGCAACTGGTAATGGCCAGCGTTACCTATTCCTGAAAGCAAACAGATCAACTGCTCAACCTTCTCATTGCCAGTGGGGACATGCACAATTTACATATCATTCCTCATAATCAAATCCCTTCATTCATTCGATCATCTTGATTGCTCTCTTCTGTATCTTTTTAATGGCTACAATATCTCATCTGTACTGTGGGAAACAGAACTGTACACAGTATTCCAAGAGGCAGACACATAAAAGTGGCAAGACTGCCTCATTATTTTACTGGATTACAAAGAATTTACCATCCAGAAACAGACTATTTGGCCCACCTGGTCTGGTCTATATTGGAATTTATTCTCAACTGGAGTTTCCTCCAATCTTACTTCCTTTAATCCCATTAGAATATCCTGCTTCTTCTTTCTCCCTTAACTACTTGCTTCTGCTTACATACATCTATAATCGTCTCAACTTGTAATAGCAGGCTTCAGCTCCACATGAACCACTTGATATGTCCCAACCTGATTGGTCATAAAGCCAAACATTTACATGCATTACAGCAACAAGATCCAGATGCTTGGAAGGGGAGGTGGTTTCAAGACTGAGCAATATTACAGTATTGTGAACTTTGTACATCAATCTAGAATTACTTTGGATCCACTTAGGGACTGGACATGGTCAAAACTCACAATGGTTGGTGCCTCAGTGTCTGAAGTTTGTGCCTGTATTTCTGCCGGAATTTCTCTGCTCGCTCTGCAGCATCCAGTGACTGTGGTTGGCTAGCAACAGCTCGCTTTACTACCTAAAATAGAAAAAAAGAAAGATACAGCTTTATATCAAAGCAGATTCTGTTAATGGGTCTGACGTGATGTCATATTACACCAGGACAGCAAGAGAGAATGCGAGGGAGAGCATGAGAGATGCAAGTGAAGAATTCATATTGTGTCTTATCATACCCTCCAAATACCCAAATTGTTTCATAATCAATTAATTGCTCTTGACGCATGGACACTTCCTATATAGACCAAGATGGCAACCAGCTTGAACACAGTGAACGACATAAATGAGCAAGTAAACTACAGTGCCAGTCAAGGTAGAGCAATGATTTTTATTGGTTCTACAGAGACTTGGATTTTATTTCAAGTTACTTTGAAGTTACTTAATCTTCCCCAAGTCCTGGAATCCTCTCTCTAAACCCATCTGCCACTCTCTCCACCCAAGTTTAAGACGTTCCTTAAACTTACTACTATAAGTAACATTTAGTAGCCCAGCATGGAAGTTATTTGGTTTGAAGCCTTTTCCATGATTATACTCTCATCTGAAAAAAGATGCAGTAAAAATTTTACTACATTAAAAGTATTATATTAACGCAAATGATCCAGTTGTAAGTGCATTCTAATTTTGTACATCTGGAACTCAAGATTTATCACTTTCGTAATGGCTTACTCAGCAATAAGATATTTTACAGAAGTGGCAAAGCTCATACAAAACACGACAATTGCATTATGGCTCATACAAAAATGTGTTGCAACAAATCTGGTACACTGTAAGCTCTAAAATCTGAACACAAGTCCTAGGCATTTCTGGATTTCAAAATAATGTTAGAATGTCTAACCTCTAGCTTGTGAACCAGATAAACGTATAATACTTAGGCATAAAACGGTGACAAAGCATTATAAAACTGTAATAAAGATATTTTTATTTAACTAAAACAGGTGACGAAACATTTTAAAGCAGTATTATATTATAAAGCAGTCGATAGGTGCAAGTTAGTGACTAAAGTACAAGAAAACACGGGAAATGGAGACATCAATAAGACTTATTAGCCTCCATCGTCCACCTCATCTCACCTAGTTTGTATCTGGTTGCCCTCTCACAGAGATACCCAAACTCTGGGTTGTGATTTATAAAGGTCAAGGTGAGGTCCTTACTTTTAAAGTGTTGCGTATTGAATATACATAACTACCTGTGGTCCAGCAAAAGGCTCAGACCTGGAGCTGAAGGCTTCTGGATTAGGGAGGTGCAATCTGTAATTACATTTATACTGTAGTACTGAAATATGCAATAGTGATTTTGTTGAATTTTTGATTATAACAAGTTGTGCATGTGTTAGGGAACCAAGGCCTAAAGGTCAGCCAGACAGTAGTTGAGGGGTTGATTATAATTGGTCTTGATATACATTGCTCTTGATAAAGGATCTGTAAAGTTTTCAAAAAAATTGGACAGACCTTGGGCATGTCTTGGACATTCATCCACATATGAAGGACCAAGCCTTTCAGACCTCTTGTTTTGAAAGAATGCCAAATTCAAATTTAAAATAGATGAAGAAGAATATAAATTCTCTCCAAAAGATGGTTTTGTAGCACAAAACTAAGCTATTGACAGTTACCTGTAGTTGCAATGTACTAATATGACACAAGGGCCAAAACTAAGAACTTTCAATACACTTTGTTTTGCACGGCAGGCAAGGAGCAACTGCAATGTGTACTGGGTTGAAAGGGAAGAACAACTGACTACGATGTGTGCATGACACCATTTTGAAAATAGAGTATGGAAGTTATATTTACCATAAATCAACTATAAAGTTTTATTTATAAATTACAAGTTGAAAGATTTAATAATATGTATGTATACAAACTTTTGCATTTGTGCTAACTTATATTTCTAAACAATGGAAACTGTAAATAATCAACACAAATAATGAAGGTATTACATACTTCATAAATTACTACATAACTGCATCATCCAAGAAAGGAATTAGTGGTAATGGAAAAGTGGCTCTCAAGAATTTCGCCAAAGAGCCCTCAAAGTGTTGACCCTTGGTATATTTTCCAGGGCCACAGGAAATTCCAAATGTTTTTATAGTCAATGAAGTACTATCACAGGCATAACATAGCAAATGTAACAGTTACTTTGCAAATAGCAAGATCCCATGAACAGCAAAATAAAACAACGAACTGCAGATGCTGGAAATATGAAAGAAAAACAAATTGCTAGAGAAACTGATGCTGCCAGACTTGCTGAGCTTCTCCAGAGATTTCCGTTTTTGTTCCCATGGACAGCAATTGATTAAATGATCAAATAACCATGCTTTTAGATTTTCATTGAGGAACAAATATTGGCCAGAATTCTGAGGAAATCTAACTTGCATTTCTTTGCAATGTGCTACCAGATTTTTAAGGTACAACCGAGAGGTTTTGGTTTAACACCTTATCCTAAAGGTATCATCTCTGACAGAGCAGATAACCCTCAGTATTGCACTGAAGAGTCAACCTAGATTACACGCTCAAGTTGATGATGTGGGAGTTAAACCCACAATCTAATGACTTAGAGATACAGGTCCTATCTACCAAGGCAACTGACAACAGAACTGCAGCAATATCCAAATTTAGCTTTAAGACTGAAAATTGAGTGGCTCAGTGGTGCACGTACCAAACAATACGAACCTATACTGACATTGCCAGCCTCAATTACTTATTTAAGTGATTTCAGTTGGTGCAGCTTGCTGAAGACCAATACAGCAGGAAAAGGAAAAAGAATCAGGATTTCCGTCCTATACCATTACCCAGGAAGGCTTCCTACATGTGCAGCATGGATCTCAGAGTTTAAGATCATACTTCAGTTTGATGAACATGATAAACAGCCCAACATTCCTTTTTGGATCTTACACAAGCCAAATGTCTGCTTATACTAGGTACTGGGCAGCTGTCAATGCCTGTGGAACTGAACCCTGATAGGCAAAAGAGGGAAGTGCAGTTTATTAAAAATAAATCGGGAGGTGGGAGGCATAAAATCAACATTACCAGATACTACTAAGGAGATCATCCAGCAACTTCTCCCAAAAGTTGAGGCAAATAACACAGCTACATTTAAGGTGAATCACATGAAGAAAGAGAGATAACTTTGATTGAGTTAGAGGAGGTAAATTGTCAAGGCACTCGTGAAGAACAAATGCCAGCACAGGTCAGGTGGGTCAAATATAAATTCTATGTAATTCTATTTAAACAAAAAACTTACACCATCTAAAGCATCCTCAAAGCAGCTCAGCCAATACTCCCTTGCCATGGCATCTTCTGTGAGATCAACTGTATCTGGGACATATGACGATGCATCAAGGAGGAGAGGAAGGTTCACCAGTTGCCGTTCCAGTCTGTCCATCTCCAACATGTCAAACTAACAAAGAATCAAACATTCAATTTACTGCATGAAGTAACGCTTCTGTTCATTTCTCATTAGGCATCTTTTATAGCACCTCAAAAACTACAAATATCGGTAGAGTAAACACCCACACTGCCAAATTGTCATTTACAGGAAGCCTCATTGGCTGTTCAAATTTATCTGGCAAAGTTTCTTCCAATTTCTGCTACTTAGTCATTAATCCGGGCCAAAACTCTTCACAACTTAGTAAAATATATTAATAAATGAAAGCCAGCATGAATTTGTTAAAACAAAATGATGTTTCTTTGACTAACTCAACCAAATTCTTTAATTAAATAACAGAATTAAAGGATCATGGAGGAATGGCTGATGAAGCTTATGACTTTTGGACATCGGCTGTTTGAATATAAAATTGGCTGAAGGACAGAATACTGATAGTGATGAATAATCATTTGAGAGGCTAAAGGGAAGTGTGTAGTAGTGTGCCACAGGCATTGGTATTAAAGAGCACTGATCTTTTTGATACATCTAAGTCGAGGTCATTAATGTAAATATGGTAAAGTTGTAGACTAAGTTGGCAGATAATGCAAAACTCAAACATGTTGTGCACTTTGAGGATAGTTAACCGGCTTCAGAAGGTCATAGACGACTGGTGAAATCGGCAGACACATGGCAGGTCAAATTTAACACCGAGAAAAGTGTAACGTGATTCATTTTGATATGAAGAATGAGAATCAGTATAAATTAAATGGTACAATATACAGGAGCACAGGAGACAGAGACTTTGGAGGCATATGTTGCTGGTGGAACAAATTCAGAGGTTGTTAAAAAGGAAACGAATCTTTGGCTAGGCCCGAACTTGAGTACAGTGGCCAAATTCTCAGATAGCCACGATCTCATTGAATGGAGAAACAGACTGAATGGCTTACTTCTGCTCCTATATCTAATGGTTTTATCCTGGGCACCACTCTTCGGGAAGGAAATCAAAACTTTAACAAGGGTGCAGAAAATATTTACAGGATGTAACATTATGTCAGGTTTAAAGACTTCAGTTATACGAAGAGACAAGAGAAACCCAAGTTATTCTCTTTAGATTAGCACAGACTAAAGGGGAAGGGGGATTTGATGGAGGCATTAGAAATTTTAAAAAGAGTTCTAATAAACAAAATAATAGGCAACTATCTCAAGCAGAAGATGGGTTGGCATGCAGAGGGCAAATATTTACAGTAACTGACATAAATGTAGGGCAACATGAAGGAAAAGAAAAACTACATAGGCAATTACAATCTGGAAGTTACCTTCTGAAAAGCAAATTTGATAACATTCAAAAAGGAACTAGATAAATACATCAAAAAGAAACATTTACTGGACAGAGAAATAGTAAGAGAATGGAACTAATGGAAAGTTTTTTAAAAAGTTGCCACAGGCTCAATGGAGGTCCTGCTGTGCTATATGTCTATGATTTGATCATTATTAAAACTGTACACAAGAGCCAGCATAGATGGCCCCATAACCCAACCACTTGGAAATTAGCTTTTTGAGGCTTTTTAATCATGACAGCACTGTTGTAAGGCATGCAAGTCTTTCTATTCCTTGCATTTTACTACAAGGCACTGAAATGACTGAATTCCATTTTACTATTTGTTTACAAGTGCTAGCAGTATAATTCTAATTCACACTTTTGGAAATACTAAAAAACATCACGGGATAACATCCAGCCTTCCTGCTAGAGTAATTCAAACTGATGCATAAACACAGAATTGAGTACAGACAGGTCTAGTAGGAATTCACCCTGCAGGGATTTCCCTCAACCCTCCCAAAAATATGTAAACAGTCGGAGTGATTGAATTCCTTCCCATTCTGCACTAGAGAGAAAGGGAAAGCAATCGAAGGGCATGGCTATTCAACCTGCATAGCTGCAATGTCAACTGTTCAGGGTATCTGCCAACTCTTTTCTGTTCCTTCTTTCCACAGGCTGAGAATTACACTGATGAGTTACCGCAACAAAGTAAAGGGGAAGAAATGAAAACGGTCACTTACTGAAAACTGTAGAAGGAGTAACATAAGGTGGAAGAGACCAGGAAGGAATGAAAGATGCAGGTTAGAACTTAAAAGTGCAAAATGAGTAAAATAAGAAAATATCCCCCGCAATCCCATGCAAGCTAGATCTCAATCGCTGAAAAGGAGAATTGCTTTCCTGTTTTCCTTCTCTACACATCACTGCAACCTTTCGAAAAATTCTGGTATCTTAAATTTTATTGCTCAAGACGTTTCAAGGAATGGAGTGGATAACGCTCTGCTTCTAAAATCTATTTCAAGGTTTAAACAGGTTTCTTATCACCTTAATTCAAAACACTTGCTACTTTAACAGAACTCAAGTGTAGGTAGTCATGACTCAAGAGTCATCTGCTGGTTTCAGGAAAAGGATTTTTTTCATTCCCTTCACGGCATGGTGGGATTAAAAAAAACTTCACGGGAAATAAAGGTTTGCTTCAGAATAAATCGAACTGCTGTAAGAACCTGCACATTAGTGAACGCACAACCATGCCAAATTCATGAAGGTTTCAAGGCTCATTTACATTGTACACTACTACTGTGCTGTAAAGGTAGCCAGCATCCAGAGTCTCGGCCAAAAGCAATACAAGCCAGAGCTCAATAGAGAGGCTCTCCTGAGAAAGAAGGATCCTGTACCTCTCCAGTGTCAGGATGATCCTCCAGTTAGCATTTATGCAATGCAAGTTTAGTGTTCAATTTCTTAGCCTCAAAGTGCTACATTAGAAAGCATTGTAAACAAGGCTTTTTGCAAATTACTTGAAACAACTAGCACAAATTTTGAAACGGCAACCATAATTTGATTTGTTATGCCACAAAAGAACATTAAATGTCACTTTAACTCTCTGCTTCTACAGCAGCTACTGTCTACTTAAACCGGAACTACTTAAAGAGAAGGACATGCTGGTAATTATTCACTCCATAGGCTAAATCTTTTGAATGTACCAGGTTTTACATAACTCACTTGGTTTAAAGAATACATGATTCTCATTACAGATGCATACCGTTCCACTTCGTGTTCGCTGCAATGGATGCACATCAGGAGAAGTGTTCATTAAGCCTGAACTGCCAGCATAGTTCTCTCCCCAGCTATACTGATTTGGATCTGAAAAATAAGATGATAGGGTAAAAAGTGTGCAATTTAGGAGCAAAACGGTTGAAATTCTGGGAAAGGAGGAAAATTTGAAGAAACTACACGGAATTGAAAAATGTTTCCTATTAACTAACAGACACTTTAGGAACCCCTTCCCACGTTGCCTGCGGCCTCAATTAAATGTTCAAGGTCTTGCTGCCTAGTTTGAATCAGTGAACTGCTGATTCAGAAAGCAAGAATACTACCAACAATGTCAAGTTAATCAATGAATTAGTTTTTTTTCCCATCAAAGCTAGATAATGAGGGCAGGTGTAGAACACAGGCTTATATTCTGTTGAACACATTGGGGTTGTGAATTCCAAAGATTCAACACCCAGAGTGAAGAAACTCCTCCTCCAGTCTTATACAGCATACTTCTTATCCTAAGGTTACAGCCCCGATTCTAGGATCAACCAGCTAGAAGAAATATCCTTCTTACATCCTCCCTGTCTCACCCTGTAAGATTTTTATATGTTTCAATGAGATAGCCTCTCATTCTTCAAAACTCTAAAGAATACAGACCTAGTTTCTTCTACAATTCTGCCATCCTAAGGATTAATCTGGTGAGTCTCCACTAAGTTCCCTCTATTCTAGCATATCCTTCCTTAGATAAGGAGACCAAAACTATACACTATACTCCAGATGTGGTCTTGCCAAGGTTCGATACAACAGTAGCAAGACACCTTTATTTATGTTTCAAATCCATTTGAAATGAATGCTAACATACCAGTTGTCTTTTAATTGCTTGTTGTACCTGCATGTTAGCTTTTATTGACTTATGGACAAGGACACCCACATTTTCCAACCCCTCATTACTTAAAATAAACATTCTGACTTTTTGATTTTTTTTCTACCAAAGTGAAAACTTCACACATATTCACATTATATACAATCTGCCAAGTTTAAACCCATTAATTGAGCCTGCCCATTTCTCTTTCAACATCTTTGCATTCTCCTCAAAACTTACATTCACACAGAGCTTGGAGTCATCAGCAAATTTGGAAATATTGGTTCCTGCACATAATTAGTTATATAGGTTGCAAAATTGAGAACCTGGCACTAACTTTTGCAGAATGTCAGAAGTAGGGATGTTCACTGATGATTGCATGAGGTTCAGCACCATTTGTGACTCCTCAGATACAGAAGCAGTCTATGTTCGATGCAACATGATTTGGACAATGTCCAGGCTTGGACAGACAACTGGCAAGTAACACTTAAGCCACACAAATGCCATATAATGACCATTTCCAATAAGAGACAACCTAACCACCATCCTATGACATTCAATGGTGTTGCTATCACTGAATCCCCCAACATCAACATCTTGGGGGTTACCACAGACTACAAATTCAACTGGACTCACCATATAAATACAATGGCTACAAGGGCAGGTCAAAGGCTAGGAATACTGCGGAGAGTAACTCATCTCCTGACTCCCCAGTGCCATAATTTACAAGGTATAAGTCAGGAGTGTGATGGAATATTCCCCACTTGCCTGGATGGGTGCAGTTCCAACAACACTCAGGAAGCTTGACACCATCCAGGACAAAGCAGCCCACGTGACTGGCACCATATCTATAAGCATCCACTCCCTCCACCACTGACACTCAATGCACACTGCTGCCACTATCTACAAGATGCACTACAGAAACTTACCAAAGATCCTTAGACAGCACCTTCCAAACCCACAACCACTTCCATCCAGAATTTCAAGCACAGCAAATACATGGGAACACCACCACCTGCAAGTTCCCCTCCAAGCCACTCACCATTCAGAACTGGAAATATAATACTGTTCCTTCACTGTGACTGGGTTTAATCAAGGAATTCCCTTTCTAAGTACATTGTGGATCTACCTACAGCACATGGACTGCAGCGTTTCAAGAAGGCAGCTCAGCACCACCTTCTAAAGGGCAACAAGGTACAAGCACTAAATGCTGGCCAGCCAGCGATGCCCATATTCTACTACTGAATAAAAATAACACCTGTAACAGCTTGCCACCCAGTAAGTGATCCATTTATTCCTATTCTCTGCTTTCTGTCAATTAACCAATTCTCAATAGAAGTAAAACGAAAATATTTCACCTGGTAGGAGAAGCTCTGACAAGTGGTATCGCCTTAAATTAGAGCTAGGCCGCTCAGGTTGGATGCCAGGGAGCATTTCTTCACACAAAGAGATTAGAAAATCCCAACTCTCCACTAATAGTATGTTTAGGCTAGGAAGCAACTGAAAGTCATTTGTCAGCTAACGGCATTGAGAGTTACAAAACCAAGCTGGGGAAATGAACTTAAAATAGAAATCAGCCCTAATTTAGCTGAATATTGCTGTTCTTATAATTTGACCACAACACAGATGAGAGTAGTATGTCAGATTTTACCTCAACTGAAAGAGTATTACATTGAAAACTGGTACTTACTGTCCTCTTCTGCTCCCTTTAGAAAAGCCCCAATGGCACCAAGGTATCCTTCATGTCTTAAAAAGAGTGCCTGAACTTCACCCTAACAATCAAGCGAGATAAAAATCAGTGACAAATCAATCAACTGCACATTTGTTATTACATTGTCAGGACATCTAGATTCATGCTAACGGTTTAGGAACCTACATCAAAGATCCAACAGAACACCATACCACATACCCTCCAGCACCTCACTCTCAGCCACCACCAATCACCTAGCCCCAATCCCTAAATTGTTACCTTTGTAAAGTAGTTGATACTGTAGGTAATGGTGTGCATGGTAACAGGGTGCCCACGGATAAAGAAACCACCAAAGTAGACTCGGCTGAGGTTGTGAAGCTTGGCATACAAGCAGGCCAGCTGGCCAATGTCATTGCTGATCATGTGGAGTAAACTCTTTGCCATATCCTCTTTGGTGAACTCTGGATACAAAAAAAAACACATAGTAGAGACTAGAGAATGATACGTACAGTTTTTCGGGGGATACAGCGGGGTGAAGGGGAAGAAAGAAGAGGGCGAGACAGCACAATCAAGAGAGAGAAAAACCAAGAGGGAAGTGTGGGATTCACATTACCAGGCATTGCTAACCACTTGCAAAGTTCCAGAATCTCAATTAACTCTTCACTTAATAACCACATGAAGCAGAATGGTACAGTCTTGTGATGTGAGACGAGGTGAGAGTGACTGCCTTTGATATCAAGGCAGCATTTGACAAAGTGCAGAATCAAGGACTCCAAGCAAAAATAGAGTTAATGATCGAGGGGAGGACCTGATAGGGGTGCATAAGATTATGAGGGCCTGGACAGGGTAAATAGAAAGTCAAAGGGTCAATAACAAGGGGCATGATTTTAAGCTGAAAGGGAGGATATTTAGAGGGGATTTGAGGAAAGGTATTTTTCACCCAGAGGGAGGTGGGGTTCTGAAAGACGGTCTGTGGGAGGGTAGTTGAGGTGGGTAATCTCACAACCTTTAGAGCGTCCTTAGATGAGCACTAGGTATTCCTAACATTCAAGGCTATGGGCCTAATGGTAGGCAGTGAGACTTGTGTAGATTCAGTGTAACTTTGGCAGTACAGACTTGCTGGGCCAAAGGGCCTCTTCTGCACATAGGATTCTACAATTCTAAAGGAAGATAGTTATTCTTGTTGGAGGTTAGTCATCTCAGCTCCAGGACATCTCTGCAGGAGTTCCTTAGGGAGCTCCACACAAAAAAAACTATTAACTTCAGTGATGCTACACACCTAACTCAATTCTACACAAATTAGCAATTTGGCCAAAGAGTGTCACAGGATAATTAGTAATGGATGATGGCACACTGGTGCAGAAGACGAGCATGCTTCTTCATTTGAATTTTAAACATTGTTCAGTGAAAGACTGAAGATGTTTTACTTTGAATGAAACAAGGCTACATCAGACATAGAAGCAAGCGACATGGACTCTCAACACTAAAATGGGAGGTATTCCAGTACTAACATCTCCCAGCTTAATATGGTAAAAACTTAAAACTTCTATCATCATCACTTATTTACCATCAATCATTATATATGTAAAATTCAGCTTGAGATATAATTTTGAATTCTGTTGTTTGAGAGAGAGCAATAGTAGCGCTAATGGGCAAGATCATAAAGCAGCAAAAACTCTTAGGATTATTATCTATAAATGTTATTTCAAGAAACTGCCTCCAGCCAAAGAGCATTCAAGACATGGCAACTCATCAAGATGTACCTACCTTTATCAGTAGTGGCAGATTTTCCAAAGCTACTGGCAATAAGATCCCCAGTCAGCCCAAAGGATTCATATGCCCCTCCGTAAATGTCACGAACTAACATATCCACATTTGTGTGCTGCCCTTTTGATGCTAGTTGCAATAATTCATCAAATCGCTGTATAAAGAGAGTAAAAGTTAAAGGTAAGTTATACTCAAATCAGGTTAGGCCTTTGGGCATAAGTCCAGACATCATAATGCAGTAAATTGCCCTTACAATTTAAAATGCTATGAGTCTTAAATAATAAGCATATTACAGCCCTTTGTTTTCTAATTGCTGTCCACAGTTAGGGACACAGAAACAAATTTGAGAAAATAAAATTGAACTTAAAATTGTGATTTATGTCATCAGAGTATTCCTTTTGCTTAGCCTACCCCTTTATGGATTCCTTCATGGAACCTAATGCCAGTTTCCTTTCAACACCTCAGTCAAGTCACCATGCTTTAACCAGAACAACAGTGTCATCACTCTTTTCCTATCCTCACCCCTCTGTGCTGGGTTTAATGAATAATAATCAAGAACAGAAACAATGGTCAATTCTGTTTTTGTAGTTCATCAAACAGAGGTCAATTATAGCACCCCTATTCCATCACACAGTAAAGATCAATTCACTCAGGAGAAACTGGGGTTAAACTTTATCATCTTTATTTTGCTTAAGTTTGCAGCTTTGGGCCGGGGGGAAATGTATTGAATAAGAAGCAAAGCAATTAATGGAAATTGACAGCATATTAATTGGTAACTTCAACAGAAAAGAACAATTCCCATCATCAGTGCTGTGGCCCAACTTTAGGACTGCATCAGAGTCATACATCACAGAATCAGACCCTCAGTCCAACTCATCCATGCTGACCGGGTATCCTAAATTGAACTAGTCCCACTTGCCTGCATTTGGCCCATATGCCTCTAAACCTTTCCTATTCACGTGCCTGCCCAAGTGTCTTTTAAATGTTGTAATTGTACCAGCCTCTATCACTTCCTCTGGGAGCTCATTCCATACACGCAGTACCCTTTGTGTGAAAAAGTTCCCCTCAGGTCCCTTTTAAATCTTTTCCCTCTCCCCTTAAACATATGTCTTTTATTGAATTGAAGTAAGTTTATTGGCACATGTACTCACATGAGTACAGTGAAAAGTGGTTGAAAGAGGGACAGAGATAGTAGGAACTGCAGATGCTGGAGAATGATGCCTTGTCCTCTGACACTTCCGCCATCTGCAATCCAACCCCACCACCAAAGACAATTTTCCCTCCCCACCCTTATCTGCTTTCCAAAGGGACCGCTCTCTCCGTGACTCCCTTGTCCGCTCCACACTCCCCTCCAGCCCCACCTCACCCGGCACTTTTCCCTGCAACCGCAGGAAGTGCTACACCTGCCCCCCATCCCAGGCCCCAAGAAGACTTTCCACATCAAGCAGATGTTCACCTGCACATCTGTTAATGTGGTATACTGCATCCGCTGTTCCCGTTGTGGCCTTCTCTACATCGGGGAAACCAAGCGGAGGCTTGGGGACCGCTTTGCAGAACACCTACGCTTGGTTCGCACTAAACAACTGCACCTCCCAGTCGCGAACTATTTCAACTCCCCCCTCCCATTCCTCAGACGACATGTCCATCCTGGGCCTCCTGCAGTGCCACAACGATGCCACCCGAAGGTTGCAGGAACAGTAACTCATATTCCGCTTGGGAACCCTGCAGCCCAATGGTATCAATGTGGACTTCACAAGCTTCAAAATCTCCCCTCCCCCTACCCCGACCAGCCCAGCTCGTCCCCGCCTCCCTAACCTGTCCTTCCTCCCACCTATTCCCTCCTCCCACCTCAAACCCCACCCCCATCTCCTACCTACTAACCTCATCCCGCCCCCTTGACCTGTCCGTCCTCCCTGGATTGACCTATCTCCTCCCTAACTCCCCAACTACACTCACCTTTACTGGCTCCATCCCTGCCTCTTTGACCTGTCTGTCTCCTCTCCACCTATCTTCTCCTCTACCCATCTTCTATCCGCCTCCCCCTCTCTCCTTATTTATTTCAGAACCCCCTTCCCCTCCCCCATTTCTGAAGAAGGGTCTAGGCCCGAAGCATCAGCCTTCCTGCTCCTCTGATGCTGCTTGGCCTGCTGTGTTCATCCAGCTCTACACCTTGTTATCTCTGAAAGAGGGACAGGATTAGCAGCTTAATGTTCCAGGATACCAATGCTTTATGTGAGACAGAGGAGAAAGCAAAGAGGTAGGGAGCTACATTACTGGTTAGAGAGCATGTCACAGCTGTGTTGAGGGACATCACCCTGGAAGGATCTTGCAGCAAGGTACAGCTTAGGAATAGGAAGGATGCAATCACAGTGCTGGGGTTATACTGCAGACATCCCAGCTGCCATATGGAGTTAGGGGAAGAGATATGTAGCCAGATTCTGGAAAGATGTGAAAATAACAGGGTTGTTGCGATGGGTGATCTTAATTGCCCCCCCTATTGACTGGGACTCCCTTATTGCCGGGGGTTTGGATGGGAATCAATTTGTTAGGTGTGTCCAGGAGGGTAATTTTTTAAACAGTATGTGGATAGTCCAATGAGGGAGGGGGCCATACTGGACTTGGTATTGGGAAATGAGCCCAAGTGATCAAAGTTTCAGTGGGGGAACATTTTGAGAATAGTGACCATAATAGTGACATAAATGATGTGGAGGAAAATATGGCTAGTCTAATTAATAAGTTTGCAGATGATACAAAGATTAGTGGAGCTGCAGATAGCGAGGAGGATTGTCAGAGGATATGACAGGATATAGATCAGTTGGAGGCATCTGCAGAAAAATGGCAGATGGAGTTTAATCCAGACAAGTGTGAGGTGATGCATTTTGGAAGGTCAAGTACAGGTGGAAATTATACAGTGAATGGCAGAACCCTCAGGAGTATTGATATGCAGAGGGATCTGGGTGTGCAGGTCCACAGATCACTGAAGGTGGCACAGCAGGTAGATAAAGTAGTGGATGACAGAGGAAATTATCAGCTTAGTTGAAAAAAAAAGAAGCATGCCTAAGATCCAGACAACCAAGATCCAATCCTGAAGTCCTTGAAGGATACAGAGAAAATAGGAAGGAGCTCAAACAGGAGTTGGGGGGCGCTGAAAGGGGCTATGAAATGTCCTTGGCCAGCAGGGTTAAAGAGAATCCAAAGGCATTTTTTATATGTGTATATATATATATATATATATATATATATCAGGAGCAAAAGGGTAGCCAGGGAAAGAGTAAAGGAGGGAGGTTATGTGTGAAGCCAGAAGAAATGGGCGAGATGCTTAATGAGTATTTTGCATTGCTATTCACCAGAGAGGGACACGGAGGATGTTGAGGTTACAGAAAGGTGAGTGAATACTCTCAGGAAGGTCAACATAATGAGGGAAGTGTTGGGTGTCTTGAAATGTATTAAAGTAGACAAGTTCCAGGACCAGATGGGATCTATCCTGGGATACTGAGAAAGGAAAGGGAGGAAATAGCTAGGGCCTTAACACATACTTTTGCATCCTTTTTGACCTCAGGCGAGATTCCAGGGGACTGGAGAATTGCTAATGCTGTTCCTTTGTTTAAGAAAGGAAACAGAGATAATCCAGGTAATTACAGGCTGGTGAGCCTGACGTCAGTAGTGGGGATGCTGTTGGAGAAGTTACTGAGTGACAGGATTTATTCATATTTGGAAGCAAATGCACTTGTTAGTGATAGGCAGCATGGGTTTGTATGGGGAAGGTCATGTCTCACCAACTTGATTGAGTTTTTTGAGGAGCTGATTGATTGAAAGAGGGAATGGCAGTGGATATTGTCTACATGGACTTAGTACGACATAAGGGTACCTCATGGCAAGCTGTTACAAAAGACAGAACTTCATGGGATCCAGTATGAGCTGACTAGATGGATACAAAACTGTCTTGGTCATAGAAGATAGAGTAGCAGTGGAAGAGTGTTTTTCAGAACAGAGATCAGTAACTAGTGGTGTTCTGCAGGGATCAATGCTGGGACCTCTGTTGTTTGTAATATGTATAAATGATCTGAAGAAAAATGTAGGTGGTCTGATTAGTAAGTTTATAGATGACACCAAAGTTGACAGAGTTGCAGATAGTGAGGAGGACTGTCAAAGGATACAGGAGGATATAGATAGATTGCAGATTTGGGCAGAGAAATGGCAGATCGAGTTTAATCCAGATAAATGCAAGCTGATGCATTTTGGATGATCAAATTCAGGTGCGAATTATACAATAAATGGCAAAACCTTTAGAAGCACTGAAATACAGAGGAATTTGGGCATGCAGGTTTATGGATCCCCGGAAGTGGCAACACAGGTGGATAAGGTGGTCAAGAAGGCGTACAGAATGCTTGCCTTCATCAGCCACGGCATTGAATATAAAAGTTGGCAAATTATTTACAGCTGTATAAAACTTTAGTTAGGCCACATTTGGAATACTGCATGCAGTTCTGGTCACCTCACTACCAGAAGGATGTGAATTGCTTGGAGAGGGTGCAGGGAAGATTTACCAAGATTTTGCCTGTTCGGGTGGCTTTTAGTTATGAAGAAAGATTAGATAAACTTGATTGTTTTCACTGGAAAGATGGAGGGATGACCTGATATAGGTCTACAAAATTATAACAGGCATTGATTAGGTGAATAGTCAGAGGCTTTTTCCCAGGGTGGAAAGTTCAACTACAAGTTTAGGAGAGAAGTGCGGGAAAAAATTTTCACACAGAAAGTGGTGGGATGCCTGGAACACACTGCCAGTGGAGTTGCTGGAAGCAGGCACGTTAACAACATTTAAGGCATATCATTATAGACACATGAATGGAGGTGAACAGAGGGATAGAAACCATGTATGGGCAATAAGTAGCGGGTCTAAATAAGAATTAGAAATCAGTGCAGCCTTGGTGGGTTGAAGGCCCTGTTCCTGTACTGTATTATTGTATGGTAAAAGTTTACAAGTTGCCAATTACGGCACCATCTTAGGTACAAAGATACCTAGGTACAGAAACTTGGATACAAAGCAGAAAAATAAAGAAACAAGGTTAAAAGTTAAACATTAGGACTTCTTACTAAAAAGTAGAAAAACAAAGAAACACAACTAAAAATTCAACCCCTGAGCTGCCTGCTTTCACCAACTTGCAGCCTGTTCCTACTCCCGCCACTGCATGGGCTGCCTTCTCCTGCTGTCACCACCGAAAAGAAGGCTTTTCCCATTAAGTCAATGCCAATTTAGAGCAGAAACTTGCAGCCAGATTTGGACTCCGCTACCCTTGTTGAAAGATCTTGGCTATTCATCTTATCCACGCCCCTCATGATTTTATAAACCTCTTTAAGGTCACCCCTCAGCCTTCAACGCTCTAGGGAAGATAGTCCCTGCCTATCCAGCCTTTCGTTATAACTCAACCCCGCCAGTCCCAGCAACATCCTTGTAAATTTTTTCTATCATTTCTGGTTTAACAACATCCTTCCTATTGCAGGGTGACCAGAATTATACACAATATTCTAAAAGTGGCCTCAACAATGCCTTGTACAGCCTCAACATGACGTCCCAACTCCAATACTCAATACGCTGACCAATGAAGGCAAGAATGCCAAAGACCACCTTCACCACTTTGCCACTTTCAAGAAACATCGCAGGTAGACAATGAACCTGAACCCTTAGGTCTCTATCCAACAACACTCCCCAGGGCCCTACCATTAACTGTGTAAGTCCTGCCCTGATTTGTCTTATCAAAATGCAACACCTCACTTTTATCTAAATTAAACTCCATCTGCCACTGCTCAGCCCATTGGCCCATCTGATTAAGATCTCTTTGTACTCTTAGATAACCTTCTTCACAGTCCACTATACCACCAATTTTGGTGTCATCTACAAACTTATCAACCGTACCTCCTATATTCCCATCCACATCGTTGATAAAAATAACAGCAACAATGGACGCAGCACCGATCCCTGCAGCACATTGCTGTCACAGGCCTCCAGTCCGAATAACAACCCTTTACCATCAAGCCAATTTTGTATCCAATTGGTTCCCTATCCCTGAACCCCATGTGATCTAATCTTACTAACCAGTCTACCAAGCCAGACCTTGTCAAAGGCATTGCTAAAATCCATATAGACAATGTCCAACACTCTGCCTTCAATCTTCTTGGTTGCCTCTTCAAAAAACTCATCAAATTTGTGAGAAATGAATTCCCATGCTGACTATCCTTAATCAGTCCTTGCCTTTCCGAAGGCATGTAAATCCTCTCTCTCAGAATCCCCTCCAACAACTTATCGACCACTGACGTCAGACTCACCAGTCTATAGTTCCCTGGTTTTTCCTTGCAGCCCTTCTTAAACAATGACACAACATTAGCCAATCTCCAGTCTTCTGGCACCTCTCCGGTGACAGTCAATGATACAAATATTTCTGCAAGGGGCTCCGTAATCTCTTCTCTAGCATCCCACAATATTTTGAGATACACCTAATTAGGTCTCAGGGATTCATCCACCTTTATGTGTTTTAAGACCTCCAGCACCTCCTCTTCTGTAATGTGGACTCTTTCCAAGACATTACTATTTATCTCCCCAATTTCCCTAGCTTCCATGTCTTTCTCCACAGTAAATACGGAGGGGAAATATTTATTTAGTGTCTCCCTATCTCCTTTGGTTCCTGTGGGCCCGATTCTCTCCCTAATTACTCTTTGCCCTTAATGTCCTTGCAGAATCTCTTAGAATTCTCCTTAACCTTATTTGCCAAAGGTCTCTCATCCTCTTTTTGCCCACCTGATTTCCCTTTTAAGTGTATTCCTACTCCCCCTATATTCCTCCAGGGATCCACTTGATCCAACTTCTATACCTGACACATGCCTCCTTCTTCTTGACCACAGCATCAATATCTCTAGTTATTCAGTGTTCTCTACTCCTACCAGCCCTGCCCTTCACACTAACAGGAACATATTATCACTGAACTCTTGTTATCTCATTTTTGAAAGCCTCCCACATGCCAGACATCACTTTACCTGCGAACCGCCTCCCCCAATCAACTTTTCAAAGTTCCTGTCTAATACTATCAAAACTGGCTTTACTCCAATTTAGAACTTTAGCTTTCAGATCAGGCCTATCCTTTTCCATAACTATTTTAAAACTAATAGAGTTATGATCACTGGCCCCAAAGTGCTCCCTCACTAACACCTCAGTCATTTGCCCTGCCTTATTTCCCAAAAGGAGGTTGAGTTTTGCCGCTTGTCTAAGAGGTCCATCTACATTTTGATCAAGAAAGTTTTCTTGAACACACTTGACAAATTTCTCCCCATCGAAGCCCTTTACACAATGACAGTCCCAGTCTATGTTTGGAAAGTTAAAATCCCCGACCATTACAGCCATGTGAGAGATCTCCCTACATATTTGCTCCTGACTATTATGTCAGCCCTAATTCTGCAGTAGCAATTTCTCCTTGAGTTAGGAGGATTTTGATTTAATTCTCACTCTAGAGACTTGATTTTTGAGACAAATTCTACCAATTCAGCTGGGAGGAAGTACTGCACTGGCAGTGGTGCCATCATTTGGATGAGACACTAAACTGAGCCCTCACCTGACCCCCAGTTGAACGCAAGAGATCCAATGGGTATCCTAAAATCCCATGTGATTTTGAAGAAAAACAGGGAGTTACATAGGAACCCTTGGAAAAGAAGTACATTCGGCTCTTGAAACTGCTCAGTCATTCAATCAGACGATACCTGATCTATTTGTATTTCAAATCCCATCTACTCCCAATAATCTATTTCCTTGCCTAACAAGGATCTATCTACCACCACCTTAAAAATTAATTATAAACCTGCTTACACTGGCTTCTGAGGCAAAGAGCTCGAAAGTCTCACAGCTCTCAAAAGAAATTCTCCCCATCGCTACCCTTAAAGGCACCCCCTTATTTTAAAGCAGTGCCCGTATGTTCTAGAGTCACACACAAGAGGAAACATCCTTTCCACAGTCACTGTGTAAAGTTCATTAGGGATCTAATACATTTCGATCAAGTCAAACTTCACTTTTCTAAATCCCAGTAGAAACAAGCTCAGCCTGTCCAAAATATCCTCATGACTAGTTAAAGGAAAGATATAGGAGGCTAGTATGCTGCTATAATTTACTACAAGAGGAACTAAACATAAAAGGAAGAATTTTATGCTTCAATTATACAGGACATTGGTGAGACCACATCTCTCATACTGTGTGCAGTTTTGGTCTCAATCTAGTAAGCTACCTCTGAACTACACTGGAGGCAAGGTCTAACCAACGTTCTGTATAATTGAAGCATAACATCCTTACTTTTAATGTTTAATTCCTCTCATAGTAAATTATAGCATCCTACTAGCCTCCTTGATTACATATTGTACCTACATACTAACGTTTTGTGACTCATGCACAACACGAATCCCTCCAAATCCCTCCGCACCTTGGAATTCTGTAGTGGTTCTTCATTTGAGTTATATTCTGTTTTTACATTCTTTCCTGCCAGAGTGAACAATTTCACACTTTCCCACATTATACTCCATCTATCAGATCTCTGCCCAGACACTCAACCCATGTATACCCATCTGCAACCACATTATGTCTTCCTCACGACATATTTTGCTACCGACCTTGGCATTATCTGCAAATTTAGTTATCATGCTTTCATTACCCTTATCTAAATTATTAGTACAAATCATATTAAGTTGAGGCCACAGCACAGATGCCAACAGGAGTCCATTTGTTGCATCTTGCAATCAAAGACCCATTTATTTATATTCTGTTTTATGCCACCCAGCTCAAGTGCTATCCATGCTAATAAAAGTTAGCCCAAAAACATGAGCTTTAATTTTCCGCGATAACCTTTGATATGGCACCTCGTAAATACCTAATGGAAACCCAGGTACAGGAAATCTAAAAGCTCCCCTTTATTCAGAGTGCATTTTCTCCTTCAAAGAACTCCAAAAATATGGTTAGATGGCTTTTCCCTTTGACAAAAACAAGCTGACTTGTCCCGATTACCTTGTTTTTTTTTTCCTAAATGTGCATCTATAATCTCTAATTATCATGTCTAATACTTCCTCACAACAGACATCAAGTGAATTGGCCAGTAATTTCTTTTTCTCAGCCTCCATCCCTTATGACTACTAAGGTAGAAAATGTGCATCTTTCAATGAATGTTTCTAAATTGCATGCAGATATGTTGTGCCATCTTCCACTAAAAGTGATACTTCAACTTGCTTTTTGGGAATCATAGTTCATGAAAGGTGCTACATAAATGTCAGTTTTTTTTTATTTTGGCTTTATACTTATGGACAGGAGGAAGGCATCCCAAGCTTCTAAATACCTGACTAGAGGGCAGAATCGCTGATGCTTGAAGACTGTTTCAAACCCATACTCCTGATCTCAGATAGGCATGTGATGAGCAGAGAATCTATAAAAGGTCAAAAGGTGGGGGAGAGATTGGGATAAAATGACCACCTTTGTTTTTGTCAGCAATGCTCCGAGCCCCCAGAACGTACCACCTCCTATTGAGCTTCCTCCAATCCGCTCAAATTGGTCTTCAGATTCCACCTGTGTGGATGAAAAGAATTAAAATAAACGTAGTTTACTATACAATTCACTGCTTCTAACCCTTTTGAGAGACATCAAAATGTGATACTGTAGGTCTTTTTGAGTGTTAAGAAACCTGTAATTTCAAAAAAGGCTTAAAATTTGGAAACCTTCCTCCATTGTCTCCATCACAGAAGCAAGGAGATCTGAATTTTGACTTGAAAAACCACTGAACGGTCTCTTATTTAACAAAAACAAAGTTGCTGGAAAAGCTCAGCAGGTCTGGCAGCATCTGTGAAGGAGAAAA